GTATCTCCCCACCCTCGAGCCACCTCTTTCCTCCACGCAGCGTGCCGAAAGACAGTCCTGATAGGGGACAGATTCCTCAAAGCCTCCACGCACCCCAAGTACACGATCGACCAGATCAACGCCTACCCGACGCTCACCTCGGCGGTGCAGGTGGTCACAACCCTCATCTACGCGTGTAGGTCCACCCATCCACCACTCTGGACATAACACAAAGATCATACTCAGAGAAGCGCAGGGACGTCCGATACCATCCTCCGAGGCAAACGCTGGCCGTGGATCATCTTCGGCGGAGTATGACCCCCACCCCACCCCACACCCTTTCCCACCCCACATCCAAGCAAAAGGCTAACCACCCCCCGCAAGTGCATCAACATAACCTGCTACATCTCCCTCGCGATCTGGGACATCCCGGTGGGCTGGAAATGGACCTGCTACATCCTGTCCGGCGCGGGGTTCGGGCTGAGCGGGTTGTGCATGGCGTACGTTCATCGCCTTCGCCCCCTGTCCCTTTCTTCTGCCTTGCCCTAAACCCCCTCTCCCATTCCCTCGTTCGGGTTCATCTTGATTCTTTTGACGGGCATCGGATAGGACAAGCTGATGAAAGACACAGCTGGGCCCATGAGATCTGCACGGCCGACAACGAGGAGCGCGCCCTCGTGGTCGGGAGCATGAACGAGATGGCTTACGTGTTCCAGGCGTGGCTGCCGCTCGTCGTGTGGCAGCAGGTCGATGCGCCGCGGTACCGGAGCGGGTTTGTGGCGGCCACGGTTATTTCGGGGCTGTTGATTGCGGTGACAGTCGCCACGGCGTGGTTGCAGGGGTGGGAGGAGAGGTGAGTTTGCTCTTTTGCCATTGGATAAAGAGGGTGGGGTGGGTAGAGGTTGATGCTGATTTTGCTATCTGTAGGGCGAAACATGTGGCTGGGAGTCTGGAGGGGGAGGAGGGGAGTAGGGCTCGTTTGGGGGTGGGGGCTGGGGATGGGCTTTTGGATGGGGAGGGGGGTGGGAATTTAGGTGACGAGGTCGAGCGGGAGGGGGTTGTTGTGAAGAATTAGGGGTACTATCTGGGGTGAGGGGGGTTGGCTTGGGGATGTTGTTGGGAGTAGGTGGGCTGCGTTGGTGGAGAAGGATCGGTTGAACTCGTGTATTCCAATGAATTCGCATTGGATGCCGGATAGGCTCAACATGACATTAAGTACAGCTAGAGTATAAATGCAAGGGTCATGCCCTCCAATCAATTGCCAGAATAATCTGATTCAAGCTGCCTAAGTGTTGTACTGTACATCATTCTCCACCGAGACAGTTCTCTGACCTCAAATTGCATGCGCAGACCACGGTTCGTACTCAACGAAAGCTTCCACCACATGCCTTCTTGATTCTTCGAAGAGCATTGCTTATAGGGCGAGTCACAACATACACATCAAACAGTCAAAGGAGTGTACATCCAGCCCGAGCAACAGATTCTTGCAGCACAAGCCTAGAAAGAGCCGGAGGCACCGGTGGGGCCAGCGCCGGAAGGAGCGCCCGAGGGCTCAGCCCCGGCACCACCGAAGGAGCCAGAAGGAGACGGGCCCTGGCCACCGAAAGAACCGGAGGGCGAGGGACCTTGCCCACCAACAGAGCCGGAAGGAGAAGCGCCACCCGGGAAACCGGACGGGGAGGCACCCTGACCTCCGAAGCCAGAAGAGCCACCGCTAGCAAAACCAGAGGGAGAAGCGCCCTGGCCGCCGAAGGAGCCGGAGGGGAAAGAGCCACCAACGGTGCCGGAGGGAGAGGGGCCTTCGGAAGAGCTGCCGCTGGAGCCGGAAGAGCCACCCTCGTGGCCCTGTCCGCCATGTCCGCCCTCGTGGGAGGATCCCTCGGAGGAGGAACCCTGGTTCTGCTCAAACTGGCGGCGCTCGACCTTCTGCTCGGATTCAGAGGAAGCGCTGTCTGAGGACTGGCCTTGCTTGTGGCCGCTGTGGCCGCCGTGGTGGCCGTGCGAGCCGTTACCCTGCTGAGGGGAGCCGGAGGGGGAAGCACCCTCGGGGAAGCCAGAGGGAGAGGCACCGCCGGGGAAGCCAGAGGGAGAAGCACCGCCGGGGAAGCCAGAGGGAGAGGCACCGCCTGGGAATCCAGAGGGAGAAGCACCGCCGGGGAAGCCAGAGGGAGAAGCGCCACCCTGACCACCAAATCCGCCAGAGGGAGAGGGGCCGTTGGGGAATCCGGAGGGAACAGTGCCTCCAAACGAGCCGGAGGGAGAAGCGCCCCCAAAGCCACCAGAAGGAGCAGCGGTGGGAGCAGAGCCACCTTCGGTGAAGGAGGCCGGGATCTCGACCTGACGCTTCTGGTGGTCCTCAGGACCCCCGGAAGGAGCAGCACCGGCGAAAGTCACAGAGGGGAATGCCTGACCGCCAGCGGGAGCGTCTCCAGAACCACCGTGTCCACCATGTTGACCGAAGCCACCAGGGCCACCGGAGGGAGCAGGTCCAGCAGAGCCAGACGGCGGAGGGTTCTGAAAGGCCGCAGTGCCGGTGGGCTGAACACCAGTTTGTGTGGGAGCCTGTTCGCCGAAGACGGGCAGGGCGGAGGTGTAGCCCAGGATACAGGCAATGGCGAATGCGGAGAGCTTCATCTTGTAGATTGAGTGAATGGGTGGGAGGGCAAAGTGAAGGACGATTAAAAAGTAAGAAAGTAGAAGGAATGTAGATTTGAAGATTTTCTCGTTGGAAAGGACAGGTAATGGGCGTTCAGATCAACTGAGCTGCTTGATTTCCAAAGGTGAACTGGATGGATTGAGGTGAGGTTTTATAGCACGACGTCTTCATACCGACGCCCTCTTTGATACATGCGTACATGCTGATCCCGATACTCGTCATGTTCGTGAGCCGCCGACTTCGGGTGGCAGAATTCTGAGACGTCGACTGTTCGCGATAAATCATCAGGCTATTCTGGACCCAGAGACCCCGAGGGTGGATCGATCACGGCTGGCGCTGGACCCGCACTCGACTAATAATGTTGAAGCATGCTAGTGGACCTGGGTCAGTGCGAGTGAGTCTAATCCCTCGAGACAGGGCTGAGGTTACAGAGCTTTGGTTTGTGAGCCATGCAGTCATGCAGGAGTTGACGCGGAAAAGAGAAGAAAAGGGAAAATGACAAGTGATGGTGGCTGAATCCACGTGTCGTCACGGGATACCCGCTGTTTCACCTTTGCTTCGCACTTTCTTTTTATCTTTCCCTTGTGGCTTGTACTCCAAATCAATTGCGTGCTTGACAAAAAGCTATTCTGTGTGACTAGGGAGTGTTTACAGGCCCAGCACAATGAAGCCTCCGAGTATCGCTATGACTCGAGACGGACATGCTTGCCGATGGTTCCTATGGGTTCAGATCGTCGGTGGAGGAGATCAGCCTGGTTTGATAATCTCTGCCCAATGATGGTGGCTGGATGGAGGTGCGATCATCCATTCACTCGAGTACAGACCACGGTGGTTGTGGCTGTTCCGAATCGGTGGGGATGTGATGTCTACACGTCCCACCCCAGCGGCAAGCTGGAAGGACCTTGGAATTGACTCACCCTAGCCCTCAACCTAGTCCTGCAGACTCGAGCTTGTGTGCTTAGGCCCCACGTTACTATTTCCAGCAAGGATCGAACCTAGGGGCCATTGACGTCTGCTAAAGGCACGGCGAACAAGCCACGGATCAACAACGGAAATGTGATGCAGTGACAGTGCCAAACAAAAGACTGGGGAAGCTTGCGTCTCAGGATGACAGATGGTAGGAGCCACTGCGGCAAGATGCTGACGTGGGCGAGATCTTTCTCTGAATCCTTGGCATGCTCTTGGACACCGCAATGAGTGTAAATCACGAGCAAAGATAGGGCTTGAGCTTGCAGGAGTTGCCCACAGAAGACCCTTCAGGGCCTTCATCACATACCCGGCGCCTAGTCGCAATCGCCAAGGTGACCCTGGATTTCCCGTGCGAGGAGGGGACGGGACATAGTCGGAAAAACCAATGGAATAGGGAAATGGGCGTAGAGAGGAGGTAGGAAGGAGGAGGTAGGAGCTTTAGCGAGTGGAACAGTAGGCAGTCTGGATGAAACCTGATTTGATGCGTGGCGGGAGAAGCTGGCGTGGCCCTTTTGCAGATCAGAGGGTCGGCCACCGCTGATTGGTGGTTCCGTCCACGCGGCCTAAGGCTCGCATCGGGATGTTTCACCTTATTTCCATCCCTCAAGCAAAACTGCATTCAACAACTGACATGGTATCACGATTGCTGACCTTTCACGTCAACCTACCATACATTGTCAAAAAGCACGTCTTGAATCACGACAAAGACGTAGCAAAAAGCATCAATCTAGGGCTGAGCAGTAGGGTTAGGCTGTTTGGACTAGATTGCAGATCTTGGCTGTTGACCCTTTTGACCCTGGCTGGTGCCACAGACCACCACATCCCTGGGTTCTGGCCCTTGGGTGCTTCCGCTTACACATCCATAAACCGTTGTTGCAGTTGCCGCTAGTTTCAGGGGCGAGTACTTCACCGGCACAGCTGTACACACCGTCTCCAGTGCTTGGCCGCTTACCCGACCCTAACGACCCGCGATCAGCATCCCATGACACACGTTTACTTCGTACATTGGTAGCTCTTCTGGACGCATCGTCACTCAGTCGGAACGGATGAAGCGACCAATCGCTAGTCCTAATCCCTCACGGAGTTCATCATCACAACTTTAATGACGAGCTTAGGAGACTTGCTGAATTCAAGGCCAACGTCCACAATAGCAGCTTCTGGATTCACCAACTCCAACTCTGACTGCGCTGAGAAAGTGTCAAACATCAATTGTTGCATTGAATTCATCATCCAAGGTCGGCTCGGCTCCCCCCCCAAATGCGCTATGTACATGCCGCCCGCAGTCATTCTGATTACGTCTGTTGAATACATATCTCGTGTCACATCGTCACAATTTCCGTTCGCTGTTGAAATGCCCAGAAAAATATCCCTTTAACTCCTGCCCACCCCGTCGTCATACCACCCAAGCCATACTGACCTAGGGCTGGCCCCAGATCTCGTCCGCGATCTCGCGAACCAAGCCCAGCTTCTTCTTCTCATCCTCGAGGCTCAGCGGGTAGCCGCTCTCGTGGGTGCTAAACCCGCACTGCGGGCTGACGCAGATGCGGCGGAGGGCCTCCTCGCGGGACTCGCCGCTGCCGGCACTCACGAACTCGGCGGCGCGGTAGACGCGCTCCTTCATGGCCTCCTTGTCCTCGAGGGCGCGGAGCTTGGTGCTGATGATGCCGACGACGACGTTCTTGTTCGTGGGCAGGAAGCGGAGGGGCTCGAAGCCGCCGGAGCGCTCGTTGTCGTACTCGAGGTAGAAGGTGTGGACGTTGAGGTCCTGGAAGAGCTTCTGGGCGATGATGTCGTAGGAGCCCTCGGCGAAGTGGCGGCCGCCGATGAAGTTGCCGCGGCACAGGTGGATGCCCGTGTGGAAGTCGGCGGGCAGGTCGCGGAGGCAGTCGTTGTACAGCTGGATGTAGGCATCCAGCAGGTCCTCGACGGTGCCGAGGTTGTCCGGGTCGGCCTCCCAGCCCTGGCGGAAGCCCGTCGAGCAGAAGTAGGCCATCCCGGGGTCGTCGAACTGCACGTTGCGCAGCCCCGCCGCGTACAGCGCCGCCAGCTCCGCGCGGTACACCTGGGCCACGTCGCGGAAGTACTCGGCGTCGGTGGCGTACGCCGCCGGGCTGTAGGCCTTGCCCTGCTTGTAGCGCATGTGGAACCAGGCGGGCGTGATCATCGTCAGCTTGATGGTGCCCCACTCGCTCTCGGGCAGGGCCTGCTGCACCAGCCGCAGCTCGTGCAGGTTCGACACGGACTTCTCCGCGCTCCACGACAGTTTGGAGCCGGCGATCACCGAGTCGCCCGGCATCACCTTGCGGTCCTTCTCGATCAGGCTGACCACGTCCGGGTGGTACAGCCGGAACATCGAGGCCTCGGCGTCCTGCAGACGGACGGTTCCTGCAGCGTTCAGTCAGCCCGTCGTTCTCGATTCGTCCGATGATGCAGGCATACCCTCAAACTCATCCCACATCTGCCCCCAGAACCGCGTCCGGTTGAACTCGCCCGAGGTGACAGCCTTGTAGCCCAAGTCCCGCTGCAGCTGGACCACCTCCCCGACCGTCTGCTTCTCGACCGCGTGCAACCCCGCCTCCTCCTCGGACAAGCCCGTGTCGCGGATCCTCTCGCGCACCTCCAGCAGGTTCTGGGGCCGGAGCAGGGAACCCATGTGTTCGGCCCGGAAGGGCGGGGCACTGTGCAGTTGGAAGGACATGGTGTGGATTTAGTCAACCTTTCTCAAGCGCTCTGCTATGCAACAAAGAGAAAAGTAAGAAAGACTCGGCCAGAGGGGAAAGCGGACAAGAAATAGGAAATTCGAAAAAAGGGAAGAAAGATGGGGAATCCCTGCTTAGCCTTCGAGGCCCCGCATTTGTTTTCGCCAGGTTCCTATTTGCCATGCGGGACCGGGCTGTTTACCGACGGTAAACTTTGGTGGCGATCAACGTCTGACTTGCGTCTCGTCCGAGCGCGTTTCTTACACGTCTACACTGTTGCAAGCATTCTTTGGCACGGAGACAAGCTTTGCGGAGTTCTGTCTGGGGCCCCGCGGACTCGATTATCTCGTTTGTCTTGAAATTACCAATGCCCAGAGCAGGATAGCCACGGGGCGATGAAGCTGGATTTCATGTACTCGGATGAGTACAAATTGTGCATGTGGAGGAAGGGTGGGGTCAGCAAATGTGGGAGGTGGGGCCAGGATGTGGAGAGGAAATGCCGTCGGATTACTCACATCGAGGCATACCACAGTCCACAGAACGAGGTACAACTCAATGGGTTGGGACAGTAACCCTCACTCCTTCACCTTGGCTTCTGCTGTCCTGCTGACCATCCAACTCAACGGCCACGCCACCGACCTCTGCAGCTCCGTATGCTCCGCGTCAGAGACGAGGTGGTCAATCACCGCAATGAAGGTGTAAGCGCCCACCCCGGTGAAGATATGCCACCTAAACACCGCCATGCTTAGCATCAACCCCCATCACGCAAACCCACTCGTATCTGCGGGATAGACAATGAGGGAAGTGACTCACCACCCATGTAACTCCAACCCAAACGCCCACGGCACCCCCACCGCCGCCCTCCACCTCCGCAAAACCGAACACGCCCACCCATCCACCAGCCAGACGACATACCCCACATTGAATATCACTGCCCCAGAAATCATCAGTATACTTGTTACTTAGCAGATAACAGGAAAGGGATTAGACCGACCAGCCCCAAACCGCACCAACGCCCACAACTCCTTCCTTGCAACGGACCCCCGGCTCGTCCGCTGCTGGATCAACTGCATCGTCCGCACCCCGATGACCGTCACACTGCCCACGAAGCCCACTGCGTGGAGGACCAGCTCGTCCGTCACTACGTGCACGGCCGCGAGGCCCAGCAGCGCGACTCCCAGCGCCAGCGCCACGCGCGACGAGGTCTGTGCGCTGGTGTTGACCGTCAGCACGCGGTGGAGGAGCGGGGTGGTGGTGAGGAGCATGGAGAGGTCGTCCACTATTCTGGCCCGGCAATAGGGGGTGGCGGTCAGTGTTGCGCGAATAGATTAAAAATGTGAACTAGAAAGGGATGGGGGAAGGAGACGCACTCATCTGCGTGTGATACTTGAGGCTCAGGTGGAACCCGGCGGAGCAGAGGCCTACGCCGATGAGGCCGTAGTATGGAATACGGCGCGAAAGTGAGGGAGAGAGGTGGTGGGGGAGATGGCGGAGGCCGTGGATGGCGTAGAGAACTGGACTGGAATTAGGTTTTGCTGTTGCCGTTTGGGGAGAGGGTCGCGAGGGTGTGGGGGTTACTGTAGGTGAGGTTGGTCAGGGTGTTGATGAATTCGGCGATGTAGCGGGTTATGGTATAATCCTGATTACAGAGGTTAGAGCTTATTGTCTTTGTGGACGGAGGTGTTGGTGCGTGTGGGGGTAGATACCTCTTCGCAGAAACTGGATGAAGATTGTTAGCTTGGTACGGCGGAGAATGAGGTCGGAATGGGTGTGTACTTGGGGCGAGGCTTACTTTGCATGGGACGTTGGCGGGCCCCAGAATGCGTCCTTTTGAATTGGAGAACTCATTGTAATGGTCAGGTGTGCGTAGAGGGCAGTGTTTGCGGGTGCTGCTGTCTGGTGTTGGAATGTTGCGGGCTACAAACAGCTTTATTGCGATGGGAAGCTAGGCATCAGTTAAAACTTCGACTGAAAGCGGTAACCAGCTCTTTGTCCTTGCTAGTCTCATTATTGACAGCAGGATTTCATGAGCCCTGCCATGAACCCTGTCACCGTCTTACGTGAGACTTTCGGGAGCAGGTGAAAATTGATCAGGATGATGATGCCTGAAGTCTCCCGGCGAAACCTCTCTCGGCGTTCTCAGAGATAGCAAAACAAGGAAAAGTAAAGTAGTAAGGAAGTTACTTCCTCACAATAGGAGGGTACAGAACATCCATACTTCCAGCTAGGTTAATCTCGACAGTCACATACGAGTAAAAGGAAGAGATCGAACATTGCCAGAAAGATATCGTGCGACTAGCAAAAGCGGGGTAAGAACCTATCAACCCCACCAACAACACCTTAAACCAAATCATCAACAACAACCCTCGACCTAAACACCCGAAAAGCAAAGTAGAGATGCCACCCACCAAAACAATCTGCATCATCGGCATAACCGGCAACCAGGGCGCCTCCGTCGCCCGCCGCTTCCTAAAGGACCCAGCCTTCCACGTCCGGGGCCTCACCCGCGACCCGCAAAGCCCGACCGCGCAGACCCTCACCCAGCAAGGCGTGGAGCTCATCCCCGCCGACCTCAACGACCCCGCCAGTTTACTCCCGGCCTTCCAAGGCGCAAACATCATCTTCAGCGTCACCAACTACTGGGAACCCTTCTCCAGCCCGGCCGGCCGCCAGCAGGCCGCCGCCGCCGGCATCTCGCCCCGCGAGCACGCCTACCGGGTGGAGCGGCAGCAGGGGCAGAGCATCGCCGATGCGGCGGCGCAGACAGTGGACTCGCTCTCTGCGAACGGGTTCATTGTCTCGACGCTGAGCCACGCGACGCGATGCAGCCGGGGCCAGTTTCGCGAACTGTACCATTTCGATGCCAAGGCGGAGGTGTTCCCTGATTATGTACGCGAGAGGTATCCGGCGCTGGCGGCGAAGATGTCGTGCGTGCAGACGGGGTACTTTACCTCGAGTTATAAGCTGGTTCCCGGGGCGTATTTTGAGAAGGTGTGTTGTTCCCTTCTGGGGAGAGCTCGGTGTTGCGTTGGGTCGGGGCGTCAGGAGGTAAGGAGTTGGCTGACTCGGGTGTTTAGGGCAAGACGGAGGACGGGGAGGATGTGTTTGAGATGACCTTCACCACCGCCCCGGATGCGGTGGTGCCCCATCTCGATGTGCAAACTGATCTAGGTGGGTTTGTGTATGCGGTTGCCCGGATGCCGCCCGGGAGGAGTTATATGGCCTGTGGGACGAGGTGCAGTTGGGCGAAGTATATGAGGATTTGGGGCGAGGTGAACGCGGTGGCGGCGCGGTATCGGCAGATCACGCTTGAGGAGCTCATTGCAAAAGCGCCCGAGCTGGAGTTTGGCCGCGAGGTGGGGGATATGTTCTCCTATTCGACGGATCCGGGGTATGATGGGGGTGATGGGAGCTTGTTGACGGCGGAGGATATACGAAGGGTGAGACATGTTGTCTATCTTTGGATGTGTGGGTTGAATGCTGACTTCCTTTAGGCAGGAATTGATTGTCTCATGACTAGTTTGGAGGAATGGATCAGGAGGGAAGATTGGTCGACTGTTCTGGGTTGAGCATGTCAGATTTCCTTCATTATGCGATAGATTTAACAAGCATCTGAGTTATACACAGGAAGACTTCTTTTGTTACGTAAAACAAAAGAAAAACTTTTTTGTTAATTGCCAAATTATGATTTAACTGTAAGCGATTCGTGGGGACAACCGGAATTAGGAATGCGTTGACAACACTGTGGACGCAGGTTAGCTACATTTGGGCCAGGGCCTGCTTTTCTGGGGATATAGAGATCGGGTTAATGTACCAATAAGACTTTAATTCTTGGTAGGGAAGTGGGACTAGATGCAATGTGTTTGGCAGTGTAACCCTCTAAGAGCTATCTGAACTCGTGCAGGTGGTTGAGTGTAACCATTGATCGTTGATCAGTCGGCCTGTACTACTACTGCTACTTATATACCACAACCTTGCATCTCTGGTCTCTGCCTTCTCTAGAAACTACTAGGGGTCGGTATAAAGGCATGGGCGCATCCGCATTGGAGATAAACTCGTATTTGCAGTCAGTACAGCAGAAGTGAGAAATTTCCGAATCACAAATTCCGATCTTAACTCGTACAATCTAATGCAAATGCAGTGAACGATGCTATGTGCATGTGCAACCCTTTCACCCCAACGCCGAAGCACCCGCTACAACAAAGATCACGCCTGCCGCCCCGCCGCCAGAAGCAAGTTCTTGACCCCCTCATGCCCATGCACCACCGCCTGGAACAGGGGACTCCAGCCATTCTCATTCACGGAATCGACATCCACTTTCCCCGTCGCCAGCAAGCGTCTCACGACCGCCTCGTGGCCCTTCTTCGCCGCCAAAGACAGCGGGGTACAGCCCTCGGAATCGCGCACATCGACCTCCACCCCCGGGGCCTTCAGCAACATGCGCACTGCGGCCTCGGCGCCCGTCTCCGCGGCCCACGACAACGGGGTGCGGCCCTGATTATCCCGGGAATTGACATCCACCCGCTTGGTCCTCAGCAGCAGTCTCACCGTCGCATCGAAGAACGTGGCCGCCGCGCGCGACAACGGCGTCTGCCCACTCTCCCCACACCTCTCATCCACCTCCGCGCGCCCGTCTTCAATCAGCACCCTCATCACCCGATGGAACCCGAACGCCGCCGCATAGCGAATGGCGGTATTTCCGGAGAAATCCGCGACGTTGACGTCGATGCCGTCCTGCTCCAGCAGCATCTTCACGGCCTTGACGTTGTTCACGAACGCGGCGTGCAGCAGCGGCGTGAGGAGGTGGCCGGAGTTGACGTCGACGAGGCCGGACGCCAGCAGCACGCGCAGCACGTTCGTGTGCCGGTAGGTGATGGCCAGGATCAGGGGGCTGTTGCCGTCGGTGTTGGGCCGGTTGGCGTCGATGTCGCGGGCCTCCAGCAGGAGGCGCGCGACCTCGGCGCGGCCCCGCATCGCCGCGATGCACAGCGGGGTCGGCGCCTTCTTGTCTTGGATGTTGACGTCGGCCCCGGCGGCGATGCTGTGTCGTGCGGTCCCGGGGACCCCGCGCCGGGCGGCCCAGACCAGGGCGGACGATTTGTGGTGGCGCGCGTTCTGCCGGTAGAGGTAGGGGTTCACGATGCTGTACAGGCGGCGGTTGGCTCGGGATAGGGCGCTGATGTCGCTGCGCTTGGTGAGGTGGTCGGCGACCATGAGGATCAGCTCGGGCGGGAGGTCGAGGGTTGGCATTGCGTTGAAGGTGTAGCTCGGACTGGATCTGGAGGGCTGGAGGATGAAGGAATCGGAGATGACCGATGATGGGTAAAATGGTGATGGGTAGATGATTGGTGGGTAGTAGTAGTAGTGCTGGAGGGAAGGTTCAAACCCCCAGGGAAGGTAGTTCGTATTACTAGGTATCTGCGTGTCGGTTTCCATTTTTCCTGGCGTGTTCGTGTTAAGATTCACTGGTAACCAGAAACCAGTCTGCCTAGTTGGGCCAGTGGTCCCAGGCTGTCTTTTGTCTTTCTATCCCCATATCCTTAGACGTGACTAAGCAGGAGAATCACAAGTGAGGGGGGAGGGGCAAGGTTCGCTCCCGACTTGAAAGGAAATGCACGCCGACTTCACTTGGGCATAACACAGCATCACCGCTTCAATTCGGGCCAGAACTGCCTCTGATTGGCTGCCACGCAGGCAAATGTCGGTATGGGACATTTTCTCCACGCGGCTTGGCGGCCAAGACAAACGCTGTGCCCGCCATTTCAGCCTAGAGCTTAGCCTCACCCACCCGGTGCGCAGCTAATCACCAGGCCAGGAAACACATGCCGACAGCCCCAGCAGGACCCACTTGAGAAGTTGCGTGAGACTGCCCAGTGAAGACAGTCAGTTTTACCTTTGTATTTCGTGTTCATCATTCGATGTCAACCATCTAAGTAGTGTGAATGCCGTCCGCGTGTGTATCGCCTTCTTGTCTCATCTTAGCGTACAATTATCTTGAGTCGAATCGGGTAGCAACGGATCCTGCCTGCAGATGACGAGTTTAACCGTTGCGGTCAGATCCTTCATAGTGGTGAATGCTTGGGGAGGTTATGCCAGTCATTCTGCGGGAGGGCTGGCCGCTCATCCCTGATAGGGTCTGCTGCATGAATACCCTACCCTTAATCGTCACAAGTATCGGCCGTCCTCAACGCCCCCATGAAGGACCGGTGAACTTGGCTTCTGACAAATCCTGGGCGTTGGACCAGAATGAAACTGCTTATCCTGGTGTTCGTGCCGCAATCTATATCAAGTATCCAACTCAAATTGAAAGTGCTGGGTCCAGTATGTCTTGCGCTGAATTGCAGGCTAATATCGCATTTTAAACAGAAGAGTTCTCGGACCCGAGAGTGTGGACAACAGCCATATGCAACCTCTTGCATCAGAACAGATCCAGACCGCGACCCATCTGTCCAGACGCGCTTAAAAGCAAATCAAAAACGAACACATATCCCCCTGGCAGCAACTACACTCCATAATCCTTCATGCCTCTCAATCTTGCTTTCATCCATGGACATCAGCAAGTATCCCCAGCGCACGCTACTCCCCGCACACCACTCGAAGCATCTGTCGCTTCCAACCCCTCCTTATACGCAATCAAGGCCTCCAGAAACTCCGCAACCTCCTGCCCCCCGCTCAACGAGCGCATCCGCTCCCCTCCTCCGAACTGAAAGTACGGTACCCCAACGATCCCCTCGTCCCTTGCCCTCAGCGCCTCCTGCTGGATCTCCGCCACGCCGCGCCCTTCCGCCAACCACGAGCGAGCCACACGTTCATCCATTCCCGCCCGTCCCGCCAATCGAACCAACGTCTCAACATCCGTGATATCCTGCTCCCGCTCGAAATGCGCCTCGAAGATCGCCTCCACGAGCGCCGCCGCACCGACACCAGTATCCGACCCCGTCAATGCGCTCTCTGACGTATGCCCCTGATCCTGCAATTGGCTGAGCATGATAACCTGGTGCGCGGGGAGGGTGCTTCCAATCCGCCCGCCGAAGCGGAAGTGGATCCCGTCGGCGTGGCCCAGTCGCTGGAGGTGGGCTTGCGCGTGGGGGACCTTCTCCGGGCCGAGCTTCTGGGTCATTCGTTCTGAGGGATCGGTTAGTATCTTGTCGTGGGTTTGGTGAGGTATATGCGAAAGGTTAGGGTACCCATGTAGGGGATGCTCTCCATCGGGGCGTTAGCGTCCAGAATGTACGGTTTCCAGGTGATGCGGATGGCGTCTTGACCACCGCCCGGGTAGGTCTTTTGGTACAGGCGGAGGGCCTTGGTGAGGCGGCGGTAACCGATGTAGCACTTGGAATTTTCTTAGGCGTTGGGGATTACTTAGGAGGGATGCTGGGAACGTACCCATGGACAGACCGGGTCTGAGGTGATGGATATGTTGATGAGTGTCATTTTGCATAAGGGTCTTGGATAGGGGGGGCTCAATGATTTTTGGATGGGCAGGTTTCAATCCTCTCCCACGACAAGTCTCGCGGTTGATATTCTTCTTGGTCGCAGTCCTTATCAGCGATTCCGCGGTCGGATAAGTTTCGTCGCACCTTTGTTCATTTATAATTGCGGGCTAGCACATTCCGACCACGGTTTTGTGCAAGCCTGGGATTCAGGCAACCATCAATTCAGGCAAGATCTCATTTATCACTCAAACAGACCATTTACTACTTGAGAAGTGAGCTTACTCTGAGAAGCTCACCTCCAACCTCCCCCTAATCCACAAACAAATGTGGTTTGATGGGCTTACCAGTTAGTACTAAAAATAGCCATCCTGTCAGACCATCCGGGTCGTGCGGGGTTCGATACACTAAGTCCACATACACTCATGTATCCTCAAAGGCATTTGGAAGGCAGGGCTGAGTACTACACTGGAATGACCATTCTTGAATTAGGAGCAACAGGTCCCTGAGAATTTCAGCGGTCAAGTAAAATGACAGCTTGTGCGAACGGTAAATTCAGGGTCTGCGCTAAGATGCTGCCGGTCGCCTACAGCCACGTGGGACAGAATTAACAGACTTCAGCTTGACACAACCTATCAACCTATCAGCCAAAAGTTCAAATAATACCCCTGTCGCATACATCGTACTGACGCCGGAGCTCTTGACCTCGCTGATAAGGTTGAAGTGTTTGCCCCGAGATCGAATTCTCGCACCATGCCCTCTAAGTCATACTAGTCATACTTCTAGTCTTGGAAAGCTTCGAACCATTAAGCCAAGAGGGGAACTTATTCTGCTTTAGTGTGCAGTGTGATTCCAATCCTGTCAGGGCCAACATACCACTTCTGTTTGTAGCGTAGGCTGGAGTGGAAAAGGCGGGCTCCAAAATTGGGCCACACATATTCACAGTTCAACTGGTTCTTCGCTCCACACGGGTAGGGCTCCGCGTGCTGCCCCTTGTGTACCCTGAACCCTCAATGCACCTTTCCATGATCAATAGTCTCCTTTGAACTCGCGAGCTGGACGCAGAGAGCCATGTTAAAAAGCATGGTATGATAAGTTGATGATGTGATCTGTCGCTTCATCTTTGTACACGCCGTGCAACCACACCATAATGTGGGCTTATGAACGTGCCTCGTGGAAGCATCGATCAACGAGGCTTGTCATACTCCCATCTACCGATTCTACTTCAGCGGCAAGAAAAGTAGTCGAAGTGCATCCTTACTATGGATATGGTTGTAGAGAGGTATACCTCCTCGAGTACAAGGGGCTAAGGTCAATCATGATCTGCCAAACTGCTGGCAGGACGAAGGTTGCTCCCACCATACTATCCGAGCAGTGTAACCTGAGCTGGGACTCCCGCCGCTGTCTGTTAGACTTGTCCCTGGCCAAGTGTTGCACAATACCACTCTGGTAGGATTGCGCAACCAGGTGGAAAGCACCACTTCACCCAGATTGGCAGTGGCGCTGGGTTGATTGGCGACTGCGATGGAGGGTACCATAAAAGTCATCCCAAGCCCCAGGACGTTCGAGCTGAATTCAACTCCTGACCAACTCACTATCCTTATTACTATTACTATGAAGACATTCACTCTATTGTTATATGTTTCATTCAGTCCAGCTCTTGCAACCAAGAGAGCCTCTGTCTCTCCTGTATGCCCCTCTCTCCTGGTGGATCACATCCCGAGAATGGCTAACACACGGCCTTTCCCCCTAGGAAACATTCGCATCACAAATCACTCTATCCGATCTCCTCGAAGGCACGCAGAAACTCCAAGACTTCGCCTATGCCTACCCGCAACGCAATCGAGTCTTCGGTGGCGCCGCCCATAATGACACGCTGGACTACATCTACCGCGAGCTCAACGCGACGGGAGTCTACGACCTCCACCGACAGCCTCAAATCCACACCTGGACGAAACACAATCAATCGGTGACCACAGCTGAAGGCCAGTCTCTCATCGCGTATAGCATGACCCACAGCCCAAGCACGAACGTCACCGCCGAACTGGCCCTCGTCCCCCAACTCGGCTGCAACGCTGACGACTACAACGCTTCCGCGGTGGGGAAGATCCTCCTCACGCGCCGGGGCGGCTGTGCCTTCGGCCACAAATCCACCCTGGCTGCGGCCGCCAACGCCGCAGGCCTCATAATCTACAATAACGTCGCCGGCCCGCTGCACGGCTCCTTAGGCAGCCCTAATACCACCACCCCCTTTGCCCCAACCGTGGGAATCAGCCTCCTCGATGGCCAACGCCTCCTGCGCAGCATCACGCCCAACGCCACCTCCTCCAACACAACAACCCCCATCCCATCCCCACGGTTAACCCTCTACATCCACACCCAATCCGCCCCACGCCTGACCTACAACCTGGTCGCGCAGACCAAAGCCGGCAACGCAAGCAACGTAATCACGGTAGGCAGCCACACCGACTCCGTGGACGCCGGCCCCGGGATCAACGACAACGGCTCCGGCACCATCGGCTGTCTAGCCATCGCCCGCGCTCTTGCCTTGTCGTCGTCTCGCCCCTTAATCCGCAACGCAGTACGCTTCCTCTTCTTCACAGCCGAGGAATTCGGGCTCCTGGGCAGCACCTACTACATCAACAGCTCGTCGCCCACCAACCTCACGCACATCCGCCTGTATTTGAAACTCGATATGATCGCCTCCCCAAACTACGCGTACATGATCTACGACGGTGATGGCTCCCGGTACAATGTCTCCGGCCCGCCGGGGTCGGACCACATCCAGCACACGTTGCAGGAGTACTTCGAGCGGCGGAATGTGTCCTACCGCGCGACGCCATTCAACGGGCGCTCGGATTATCAGGCATTCATCCGAAAAGATATCCCTGCGGGAGGGCTGTTCACCGGGGCCGACGGGGTCAAGACGCAGCGGGACGCGGAGTTGTTTGGGGGTCGGGTCGGGGTGGCGTATGATCCTCATTATCATGGGGCTGGAGATACGGTGGCGAACTTGGATCAGGAAGCTTTTCTGATGAATACGCGGGCGGCGGCGTTTGTGGTGGCGAGGTATGCCGGGGATTTGGAGGGGATTCCGGAGCGGGGGGGTATCAGTTCGATGGTAGAGGGGTTTGGGGAGGATGGGAGGGAGGTGCTCAGGCGGTCCGGAGATAGGGGAGTGGAGAAGGTGTATACGAGTGAGTCGGGGAGCTTTCAAGATGTGGTTGTCGCTTGATTGAGGTGTCTCGTTGGAGGTGGTGGATGTGTTGAGACCGGGTATCGCGCAACATGCGTTTTCTTGTATGAATGATGGACTGTCTATTTGATGTTGTACGGTGTTTTATTATTTCCAATGAGATATTCTCTTATCTCCACATCATTCAACACATGCGTACAGTACATGTATAACGTATCGTCACCTTCATCAGAATCCCTCCCACATCGCCCAACTCCCTCAAGCACCCCAACACCACCATCCCATCACCCTCTTGCCCTACCTAAACAACAACACACCCAGGGAGTCACCGCGCCGCCTTAGGCGGGTAGGACTTGCCCTCCCGCTCGACCTTGGGCGCGCAAGTGCACCGCTCACTTTCGGGGATGGCATCCATGACCGAGGGGATGTGCGCGCCGCAGCCCCACCAGGAGGTTTTTTCTGCCTTGGTCAGTTTCTTCTTTCGTGCATGGTGAATGTCATGGGAGCATACGGCAAGTAGAGCAGGTGGCCTTCATGCACATGATGACGGTGGTAGATGTAGGATCTTTTGCTATGAAAAGGATATGTTTTGGAGGTTTGGGTTGGTGGTGAGCGGTGGATGAACCAGCAGAAAAGTGGGGGATTTTATGGCGCATGGCGCTGCTTAGTCATGTTGAGGCTGGTCGGCGATTCTGCCGGGGTTTAGTTTTGGTTTTATCGTGGTCGGCGAGGTCGGTGGGTCGGTCGGGGTCGGGATGTACGTTGAACCTGACTTTTGGGGATGGGGAGGTTGGGTCTTACCGTGGTACTGTATTTCCAACAACGTTTAGATAACTCGTAGGTATTGCGAGATGGTGGTGGAAATGCTGGCGGGTTGTGACTACCCCTCGCCTCGTGGTGGGTACAGTATACCCGGTCATGCAAGGTTTCCATTGATTTCTAGACTCGGTATAGATGATTGAGTTTCCAGTGTATGTATATTCCGGATTATGATTGAGGTACATACATACATATTCGAGAGAAATACCAAGCAGTGTCATCAATCGTGACATCATCCAGGAGTGAATCTATCTATCTATCTATCGGAAGAAACAATCTACCACTACAACTTGCCCTGCCGCTCGGCGGGCGCACAGCACGCCACGGGCTCCGGGTGCAGCGTCGACTGGTTGAAGGTCTGGTTCGAGGCCGGCACGTCCAGCGCGGGGTTCTTGGTGAAGAAGCCGTCCGGGCGCAGCATGACGCTGACGCGCTCCATGGGCATGACGGGGAAGTCTTCGATGCGGGGGTTATGCGTGAGGCCGAAGGCTGTTCCGTCGATTAGTCTGCAAAAGCTTATCATAATAGGGGGGGGGGCAAGGCCGCAAGTGCCAGGGTTACTCACTATGCCACAGCACCAGATCCTCATTCTCCACCACCTCGTTGCGCTGCACCCACTTGTCCACGCCCTGGGAGTCGGCGCTCTGGTTCGTGAACTCGCCGGCCGCGTACAGCTCGTCGTCGCGGTACCGCGTCACCCAGATGGGCTTGGTGCCGAAGCGGGCGCGCTGGACGCCGTACGACTTGGGGCTGGCCAGGAGCATCTGGCTCGGCGAGGTCTGCAGCTTGTAGGCGACGGGCTTGTAGGTGATGGGGTTGACGCGCGCGTCGTTGCGGATCTTGAACACGCGGTGGCGCGCGACGTCCGTCTCCGCCGTGCCGCTGCGCCGCAGCACCGTCTGCTCCGTCGTGTACCCCACCAGCCACGGGTTGTTCGCGTCCTCCGGGAGCGGCACGCTGTCCTCGTAGTAGACCGTGTTGGCGAAGCCGTCGAGCGCCGGGTCGATGCGGAAGGAGAACAGGTGCTGGTGGAAGGGCGCCATCACCCCGGGCCCCACGTTGGTGCCCCACGGCACCGTCGTGCCGGGCGCCGCGTTGTCGAACGGCACCGTCGACAGGATCCCCGTCGCCCGCACCTCCAGCTCGATGTTGGCCGCCTGGTCGAAGATGAACGCGAAGATGTACTCGTAGTTAGCCACCGTGCAGATCATCTGGATCACCAGCTGCCGGTTGCGCACCACCGTCGCCGCGTTCGTCCGGTAGTTGGTGTGTTTGTGCTGCAGCCCGTTGTCCTGCTCGTGCAGGCAGATCACGTTCTTTAAGAGGAGGGGCTGGCCTTTCGAGTCCGCCCGGTACCCGTCGAAGTACTTGATGTGCCCGAGGCAGTCGCAGCCCAGGGAGAGCTGGTTCGCCGTGATGCCGAAGCCGACGTCGCCCACGTCGAACGCTTGTTTGCGGTGGTAGGGGGCGCGCGGGTCTGGGGTGCGGGTTAGTTTCTTGTCTCAGTCGTGGTATTGACGATCCCGGGGTTGATAGTGATAGCGGAATGACACAGCTAGAATCAACACTTACCTCCGTAAGGAACGGTCATCTCCGACACAGACAGTCGGTAAAACAGGTTGCGACCATCATAGGTGGTGTTGTAGACGACCAAGCCCTCGCGGCTGTTGAACCCCACGCGGAACCGCCACTTCTGCCACGACACCACATTCCCTTGGACAGTGAACGACGGCCCCTCGGGCTGCTGCACGATGTATGGCTTCAGGTCCGTCCGCACGGGCTCGTCCAGCAGCTCGTGCGCATACTGGATGGTTTGCACGGGCTTCCACGGTTGCGTCTCGGTGGTTGTCGCATCGACGCCCCCAGGCAGGAAGTCGATCCGGACCAGCTCGTGGGTGATACCATCGAACACGGGAGAGAACTTGCAAGGAGTGGAGTAGTGGTTGTTCTGCGGGTGGTTCGTGGCCACGATGTACATGTAACACTGGAACAGCCGGCGGGTTTCGTTGGGGTCGTCCCTCCCATAGATCCAGGGATCGTTGCAGACCGTCACGCCGGCGGGGAGCTGCAGTTTGGCCACCTCCGCCTGTACCGCGGGGTGGTTCAAGCACAATCGCTCGATCTCCTCCAACTCGTCGGCGTCCACAGGGGCCTGGGGCGAGGAGGCCAGTCAGCAGCGAGAGACAGGCGACAAGGGGATGTGTAACGCCGGAAACATACCTGGACATCCTTGGGCAGTTCCTTGGCAAAGACGATAGAGCGGGTACCCGCGTTCAACAGGGCTTTCAGAAAAGCACCGGTGTCCAAGCGGTGGAAGAGGACCTGCAGCAACCGCGTCGGCTTGGGAGGCAATGGCTTTCCCAGACGCTCTGCCTCGATATATGGAACGACCTCGCTCTTGATTGGCTCCTGGATATCAATCTTCTTGTACCGGAGCTTGACGCCGGGGAAAGCAGCCTCTACCAATTTGGTGGCAAGGACGATTTCCGCCGGGTTGATAGGGTCAAAAGGGTGTGGGCCTGAGGCTGTCATTGTGTCTGCGGGATTGCTACTGAAGAATCCTCTGCTTCGCGTCTAAATCAAACAAATGAAGGGCAATTGAGGGAGACGAAAGCAGCGAGATGAACGATTTAAGAAGTAGGATAAACCGTATCTCTCCCCGCCTCTTTGTTTCACAGAGAGTCTCCAGACACTGCAGATTATCAGCAATCCCGATCCCGGCATTTGCCTCCCTTCCAGAGCTGTCTTCTGATTGGTTCGGTGGACCGACTCGGCGTATCTTTAGCCACATCAGGACTAGTTCAAGATAAGGGATCGATCTCCGCTTATGTCAGCTTCCAGACTCGCCCGGTAAGATTGGCGGTGATGGGCGAGTTCCAACAGTCGGTAAGAAGTCGTGTCAAATACTGTGGACTTGGCATTGAGGGTGGAATTTAGAAGGCCTTCTGTTCGAAATGGTTGCATGTTGGTTGGATCTTAGAGTCCAAGTTGCCCCACCCTGTCACTCCCCGTTATGCAATCTACGAGTATACTATCGATCCCGGTTTCTCTCGATAATAGCCTATTTGGGTAATTTGGGTCTGTTCGGAACATCTGGATTGAGTATTTTTCGACATCTTCCCATCGTGTGCATAAGCAAAATAGCAATCTTTTTGTGTTAGAACAAAGTCTCAAGGTTGACTGATAACAGTGTGGGCAGAAACACGGCTAATGGAAGACCGCGCAAGCGAAGTCTCTCAATACAACAATTCAAATTGATCAACCATGTACTTCTCGAGTATCCTCGCCAGACAAAGCAACTCCAAGCACACCATAGACCATCGTCATGGCCTCATGAGAAACGTGGTACCCAGCACCAAAGCGCTCACGACCCCGGTCAAGACCGCGGCGCCCACCCGGTCGGCGGCAGTGATGGGTCTGAGCGCACTGGGGTCCCTGGCCTTATCCGAGGTTGTGGTGCCCGCCGCCCCATCCCCCTTGCTGGAGCCCCCCGTCTGGTGGGTAAGGGGCCCCGCCACCGACTCGACGAGCAGGGTCTGGATCGCCTCCAGCGCCGACATCTGCTGTCCCACCCCTTTGGTTCCATCGTAGACCCCCGTTGTCCACTTCATTCCACAGTACGTCCCGGACGCGCCTCCCACACATTGAGCGGCCGCCGCCCGCGCGGTCGGTCGGAGACGGCCCAGGATGAGATCGTGGGTGAAAGGCGCCAGTTTGACCGTGTCGGCCATCCAGCGGAACAGATACGCCTTGAAGGAGAATTGATCCACCTGGCAGGTGTCCCAGTTCTCGCACGCGGACTCGTAGAATACGTTCTGCGCTGTCTCGTTGTCGGAGAGGAAGATATCCTGAGCCTCCAGCAGCCCCATGATCCGGTTTCGCCAGGTCTCATCGCCGCTAGTCTGCAAGATGAGGAGTAGTGAGTAAAAGTCATCTGATTCTTGGCATCTGCGAACAGCCGAGGACAGAGAAATAAAAGAATTAGAGGGAGAGGAAAAATCACAACGTACGTAGTTCCACATATGCGCCGCCCCAAGCAGGAAGACTCCGTTATTGTACGTCCACTCCACATGATTGAGATCCGAACAGTTGTTCCCTTCGCTGGTGCCGTCGTAGACCTCGAAGTGGGGCCCAATCAGTCCAACCCCCGAGGACCAGTCCCATGCCTTGTTGGCCCAGTCCGCATAGGTGCTGTTTCCGGTGTACCGTGCCAGTCGGGCGGCGATGTTGAAGAAGCATCCGTTTGAGATCGCGTTGCGGTAGGTGTAGCCACTGTTGAAGGCGTAGATCTGCCACTTCAAGCCTCCGCCGCATTTGGTGGGATCCCAGCGCGTGGCCTGCTGGTTGAAGACCGCCTGCGCCAGAGCCAGCCACGAAGGTTGATCGTTAAGAGGGTTCGGGTAGTTGTTTTCTGCAGCCTGCAGCGCTGTGAACGCCCAGAAGGCCTGGTCGTCGTTCCCCTCGGTGCGGGTCTGGTTGGTGGGCATGAAGTCGCGTTTCTCCCCGGCCTGGTGCAGGATGGCTTGCGTGGTGATCGCATTGTAGGTGTCGTCGCCGGTGTAGGTCCAGTAGTTGATCAGCGTGCCGAAGAACGCGCCCGCTTCCCACCAGTAGTACGGATCGGGGAGGTTGCCAGGGACGTCGCCGGTGTGGTTGCCGCTGTAGAAGCTCACGAGATCCCAGGCGAGCTGGCGCGCGACGTGTTTGATGTTTGCTGAGATGGTTTGCAGAGTCAGTCGCGTGGCAACAAATGGGTCGTCTTGATGAAGCTTTCCGAGTACCCACCAGGGTCGTCAATGTTGAGGTCGATCGCGCTCGCTTTGAAGTAGGGGCACATCAACACCAGGCTGAGGATGAATACCCACGCGAGGTTGAGTATGTGTGTGCCTTGCATCTTGGGCTGTGTGTTTAATCCTTTCTTCTCGAAGACACAAGTTGAACCGGTTGATGAACACGCTCTGTCATGGTGGTGGGAAAGAGGAAACGACAAGTTCCATCCGGTGCGAAGTAGAGGAAAGGTTTCTTTCAGAAGTAGGCGGGTCACACTCACACGTCCATCATCACACATTCACTTCTTTACCTGTCATTTTGATTGTGTTACTAGTCTGTTCAGACATTCTGAGCAATTCACCACTGGCCGCTGCCTATCCACCTTTACAAAGGTGCAGCGCAGCCAGCTCTGTGTTAAAAACCAAACTCTGAGGCAGCAACATCGGCGCCTGAAGACCATGAAATCAGATCCAAAAATGGCATAAAGTTGGGGGGCAGTGTTCTTTGCGAACAATAAACTGATGGCTTCCACGAGTTGAACAAACAACACGCAAGAACTGAAGGTCAAACAGAGTGCCTAATTTCCTAAATCAGCTGATCACAAACAGGTGTAGTCAACATAATCTGTCCTCCGTGTACTTAATTTCTGGATAGACTCCGTTGATCGCCTGAGCCAAATGTAATAATGGTGGAAATGGCCTCGGGCCAGGCACCGCATCGCAGGTGGGAAAATTACATCATTTCAGCCACTCAATCCAGCCCGGGCCGTTGCCTTGGCACTCTTGACTGCGAATTGGAGTGCAGCCCTATGCAAAAAAAAAAAAGGCAGATTCTCCCAGAGACTCCCAAGCAAGATCGTCATTGGTTGTGTCATAAACATTTACCTTCTAGGTAGGCTATCAGGAATTCCCCCTGGGCCATGGCAGCAATTTGTCGGTGGTGAGCGTTGATCTGTTGGAGAGAGTTGCGGACACTCGCTCCATTTTCAGCCCTATGATGCACCCGCGCCTGATGTCATCGATTCTCTCTCTCCCCCAAAGTCCTTTTAAACTCCTGAACCACACCACTTTCTCCTCCACTCTTCCTCTTTCTAAAGCTCCCACTTCTACACCTTTAACAAACTTAACAAACAGACCTGGTCTTTGATACCATACCTTAACCAAACCAACAAACCAAACAACCACTTTATCAACCAAATTTCCAAACACTCACAATGGCCAACGCAGTGTATGTCCCCATGCCGCCCTCCCCGTCGCATTCCCACTGAGAGGGAAACTGTCAAGCTAACACCCTTCACACAGCGGTTGCTGCGAAATCGTCATCGCCTTTTTCCTCCCCTTCGTCGGTGTCTTCATGCGCACCGGCTGCAGCTGCGATCTGCTCATCAACATCTGTCTCTGCATCCTGGGTTGGATTCCTGGTGTCATCCACGCCTAGTATGTTCACACTTCTACTTTTTCGCTGAAGAAGAATTCTCCAGCTAACACACCTCACAGCTACATCTTGGCCAACAAATAGATCATCGTTCTGTTGATTTGTTCTTCATGCGCCGGTCGGGACATTTGTACGGTTTTTTGGGGGCACGCGCGCAACTTCGGCGTATACCATTTGAATAATAATGATTGAGGGTCGCGGAGATGTGATATCGTCTGTATAATATTGAGCAGTAATGATTATGAGAATTTGATTGTGCGATTCAATTTTTTCACCTTGTTGCTTGGCTTCGCGCCCTCGCTACGGAGTCACAACTTAGGCAGCAGTTTTCGGTGCGCGGGCCAAGGCGGTGGTTAGGCGGCGGAATTTCTCAGGAATGCGGAAATGGGCGTCGGAAGTTGGCCGAGACTTCTGGAGAGTCTTGGTGACACTGCAGTTCTGGCGGAACAACCGGTCTGTCGTGGCGAGCTCGGTGTCGAGACTGTCACCAGAACGCGCTGGATCATTTGAGGCATGCTCCATTTGATACCTTATTGCTGGTCCAACTGAGCTTTCTCCTGTACTTCAGCCACGTCTTCGCCAGCAATCGTCGCAATTGAGTCCGCTGCCAGTATACACCAGTATGGTTACCTTCGTGAGATGTTACAAAACCACAGACCCCTAAAAGTCCTTTCTAAACTGAATTCCTAGATATGGCTCGTCCTCGATCGGGCTTGTGGTGGCCATGTGCTTAGAGCGCATAGCTTAGTCAGCCTGCATAAAGAGCCATCATCTATCAGCATTTGGCTTTCTGCTTGCGGAGTAATATCACTTCCAGCAATAATCCGGGAAATTCTATGTATAGGATGTGTTCATTGACTTGCTTGAGCCCCGAAGAATGCGCAAATGAATATAGGCGCTATTTGGGTGTTGTCGATCGCCAGCGGGATGAGTATATATCCTGAGTGAACCTCCCGGCAAGGCAGGCGCCTCAGGTGCTCCACAAAAAAAAAAAAATAAAATGTGAATAATGTATCTATACTAGATTCAAGCATCACCTTACTCTAAATTCCGATATTACCCTAACACTAGGGCAGCTATGACATGTCGGATAGAGGATTTCAGTAGCTGCTAATGATTCTGTCAACACCGAGAATCGAACACCACCGTAGTGCCAAGACCTGAACCTGCAGGCGATGTGCTTGTCAAGGTTCACATGCTCAATCAGATTTCGGTATGGCTAGATCTGAGTGGCTCGATAAAGCTTGCATTGATTGGAATAGACTGGGAAGAGGGGCTCAGGTCTACTAGCCAAGCTTTGAATTGTGAACCAGAGCGACAAAGCCTAGCTTGCGGTGGCCGAGGAGTGGCGGCAGGGCTCCTTAGCTGGAAAGTACAAGGCCTCTTACTTTGCAATCTATGTACAAACCATCGCAGCCTAGCTGTTCCAAAAGTCGACTGAAGTCGGGCTTAGAGAGAAAGTATTCTGCTCAAAAGATTCATCTAGACAGACTATCCCTGAATCAGATAAGCCTGCTTACGATCCTCGAGTAATTAATATAAGTACCGCCGAGCGACCCCTCAAATTTCCGGCTGAATCAGAAACCTGTCTCACCAGCAAAGCACCCAATGTATGAGTATCGCATATCGACCAACGTCTTCAAGAATATCTCCCGCCCACCAGCAGAAATCATGACATTCGCGCAATTCCCCCAACTCCCCCCCGAGCTCCGCCACTACATCTGGCACCTCACCCTCCCCGACCAAGTCCGGCCAGGAGTGCTATTTCCGTACAACGAAGGTGAGTTCGGCCATGACGATTACCTTTCCGCGCGCATGGACCCAGTAAGCGCACCACTGCCCCATCTGTTGGTCAACAAGGAGGCAAATGGCACGGCGCGCTCGTGGGCCCGCAAACTCGGCCTCAAGATCCGCCCAGACATCGGGACCGGGTCGCACGTCGTCACCCACCACTTCGACCCGGACCATGACACCCTCTACCTCCACGCGACGCAACTCGCCCGCTTTTGCATCGACTCGCTCGACCGACGGGTGGAGCAGCTGCCCAGAGAGCGGATGTTTATCCGCGACGACAGGGAGGGCCACCCCCGCATCGCCATATCCAGCATGTCGCTTCACTTGGAGCCCCGCGCGCTGGAGAGGATCTGGTGGTGCTTTCCGCGGCTGGAGCGGGTCTACATCGTTCTCAATCCGCCGGATCTGAAATCTGCGGAGGATGGATGGGAGATTCTGCCGGAGGGGAGGTACCTCGCGTATAGGGCGGAATGCGCGGGATTTGAGTGGAGTGGGGAGGGGGAAGGCGAGTGGCTCTGTGGGGAGATCCTCTATGGCCGGGTGGAGGAGGCGGCCAGGAAGCTTACCGGCTCGTTGGTCGCTGCGGAGGTCCAGCGGTTTGAGATTCGACCTGTCTCGGTCGCCAAGCGGCGAAAGGGGTTGTCGGAGGTTGCAAGGTAAACATTCCTCTTCCACGCATCAGGATCAAAACTCCCCAGAACTGCTACGAGTCGTAGGGGCTGCTTTGGCAAGTGATGGTCACCAGGTGCTAATGATTGAGTTGAACAGAGTAGGGTTCGGCTCGACAGCATTTACCCATGATTCCCCACGTCCTTTCTCGCCGCGAAAACTCATGCGATATTATGTTTGAGATGGATTATCGAAATTTCAGGTGGAAGGAAGGAACTACTGGTACTGTTTCGCGACCATAAGGGTCGATCTGCAGGAACTGTCTGTCTGACGCCTATGATCTCAAGCCTGGGCGCCACGACAAGCGTCGGGTGAGAAGCGCGACAGGAATAATGTTCTGAAGAAGAAGGGGTATCGCACGTAAGTAAACTCTCCTGTGCCCATAATTGAATCCAAGCCTGCATGAAAGCCAGAACTCCGGAGATATACTACCCAACTGACCATTAACGCCGCAAACCAACCGGAAGTACCGCCAGCCTAGGCGGTATTCCCAATGGGAGTCCCGAGGTGCAACCCTCCAAGATCCTTCAACGCCGTCGCGGTCTGGTGGCGGGTACTATAGAGATTGGTGCAGCCCAGGATGAGGCGTTCGCCGTCGAAGTATGCCTCGATCGCCCGTGCAGACTTTCCCATAAAGGAGATAATCATGACCTGCCACAGGGAGAAAGAGAGTAAGCCATGCCGTTTCAGTGCGGAGCTTGAAGGGCGGGATGAAGATGGAAAAACATGCTGGGATAACCAGATGCCCGAGCAAGCGTCGTAGCCGGAATTGGCCTATCATCATCCGGAGAATGATCAACAGCTCCCCCCGAAGAACATCCTGGTTTCCGACCTCCAACTACTAGCGAGCATCGTAGAGCACTAAGTAGTGTGAGTGGGTAGAGTCCCCGCCGATTTGTTTACGGGTCGGCGCGACAGTTGCCCGGCGACACGCCAAGGCAGCCTGTCTCTTGGCTTTTGGCTTACAGTCCGAGGCGGAGACTGGAAGCACAATAAGGCATACTCTTTCTGAAATGCAGTGGTCATATTGATTCCAAGCTGTCTCCTTTCTTTTCTCTTCTGATCTTCCAATAACACAAACAAGGCAAACCTTAGCATGCTCTAACTGAGCTCCATGTATCCCACTCAATCATCGCAGAGCTTGAAAAGAGCAACCTTTAGCATGGCGGAATCAGAGCCTCCGGATCGCATCACTAGATATAGATATGATACATCTCACCCCCACAATAGCACAAAAAATCCTTTGAAATATGCTGAATACTCTCCGGCTCATCTCTGGGAATTCTCCCCAAGCCACACTCACTCCCCACCCCACAAGTCCATCACGACTGACTGGGCCGCATTGATCTTCTGCGCCTCGCTTCCGCGTGGTTGACAATGCACCACCCCGAGATAGAGCCTTGTATCCTTGCCCGCCTCCAACTCGACAAAGTGCGCGTGCTGACAGTCCGCGTAGCGGAAATGAATTTCCAGGGCAACTTCCGCAGGGACTAAGGCGCAGAGCCGCCGCGTCCGCTCCAGGATACTGTCCACGACGGGGAAGATGTGGGCGCGGAGGGAGGAATCCGGAAGCCGGCCCCGCTCGTACTCCATGGCGGTGGTCTCGAAGCAGGAATCCCACCGCAGCGCGAGATCGGCGGCGGGGATTTCCTGTCCTCGTACAATGGGCTGTATGGCCTCGACCATGCGCACTGCTCGTGGAGAGGGTCTGGCTGCGTATGGAACTCAGGTCGAGTTTGGCCAATCACGCAGTTCAAGGGCAGGGGCAGCGAGACCTGGAAGCGGACCCTTTGCGGGATGATGTCTTGGTCTCTGAGCTGGCAGAAGGTGCGATAAGACTCGAATGCGACCGTGTCGTACCCGGTGGGGTTGATGTCTGCGGAGGACGGGGTGATCGGCGGGGAGGGTATCCACGCCCGTGCCGCGGAGGGGGTCGCCAAGGGAAGGTGGCCTGCTGGAAGCAGGGAGACTGCCCCCGGATGTATCCCGATCGTCCTCTTCATATACCTTCCTGGGAGTCACCGCGATTACAGGCCTTTGACAAACCCCTTCACCGGACCAAAGAACATATCTTGGGCTGCAACTAAAGACCCGCATGAATACACATGGGGTTCTGGTCCCACGCAGTTGGGTCGCTTGAGTATGAGTGTCTCGGCCGATAGATGGGTCGATTGCTACTACTCGAAAATTACTCATGTATGACCGCATGGCACGAGCCTTTATCTAATTCCCGTCGTCTTTCGCTACCATCTTGGATCAAGAACTCGGGATACCAGACTGTTACATGAGACTCTCTGTTGCCTTGAGTCTTTGCGAGAAACGTCTTCAATGTAACGACTTGCAGACCTTTGCAAGGCACATGAACTTGAGCATATCTCGGCACAAGACCTCAGCATTCAGATACTTTTGGCAGGGATAGAACCGATAAGAGTACTTAGCACCTTCTTGATATCCGCATTCCGAGCCTTATGCCGCGGCAAGACGGGGCGTGTCGCCGGGTCAATAGAGGTTCCTTATATGAACAGTACCTGGCATTTGCTTGTATCTGAAATAAAGAATGGTAGATATACATACTTGCAAGTACTTTAGGTGAGGGGTTCACGAGTACTAGGTAAGTTGTAACTTAACTGGCATTGCAGTTCTTGGAAAGTGGTTGCACCTACTGCGCCTGGCACTCCGTGAGTAACACCGTGGTTGGTCCCAGTTGTCAACCCACCCATTCTGCCCGCGAAATTGTGCCAGCTGCCCAGCGGGTGGTGGTGGTGGCGGCGGCGGCGGCGGCGTGGCCTGACCATGCCGGGCAATGTCTACGAAAGAGCAAGAGTGGTTAGGAAAGGCGGTGCACTGGGGCGCGGGTGGCGCTTGGCTTGGTTTGTTTGGTTTGTTCTCCTCCCACGGTGCGGCAGAGCCTCGGCTAAACAAAAAGGCGGTAAAAGATCGAATAGATGGGAATATCACGTGACTCACACGCTCGTCAGACCTACCCCGGCAGAAAACCGAGTCTACTCCGGAGAGTACAAGTGCCCCGAGGTCCAGGAAAATCCTTGCTGATGCGGTGGCCCTGTTCCAGAAAACGTCATTGGGGTTGGTGGCAAATGCTGTCGTAATGTCTGGATGAACCGATGGAGTGTCTAGAACCACTAACCAGACGGCAGCATACGCCAGTCTGTGGTCCACCGGTCCCCGTTCCAAGCCCCGCCTGCGGGGTTTTTCTGCTTTTTGACTCCAGGGCATCAGGAACAAACGTGTGGTTCCTGGTGTACCTTGCACAAAACCCCCGCCATGATTCGCCGCTGAACCAGGCAACCGTGGGTGTCAGGATCTAGAATCTTAGAATTTTGTGCCTGTCCTCAAAGTTTGACACGTTCCACACTTTTGTTTTACATGTCGCCTTTGGAGACAGCTGACACATCGCGGCTGACGCAGCCGCCTTCGTTTCCGGTCTCCACCATGAGATAGGTATAAAGCTACCCTTCGTGGCACTGCTATCTGCTCTCTCACAACCATCCTCTCCTTTGAAGGTTCTTTACCAGTCTACTCTACTTTCGCTACTGAGGTTGATCCTCGTGCATTCCTTTCGTGTCACTTGTCCGTTTGTCTGTTGATCAGAACTACCTTCTCTTCATCACATCATATTTTCCCGCAATCGGTCTCTATCCAACCACAAAAAACACATCAATCTTTCACAATGATGTTCACCAAGCTCTCTCTTGCTGCTACCTTCGCTCTCGCGGCCTCCGCGCTTCCCCAGCCGTTGCAGTCGAGCACCACCAGCTCCGCAACCGCCACCTCGAGCAGCAGCAGCGCTAGCGCCAGCTCCTCTTCTTCCTCCAGCGGCGGGGGCAGTGTCTCCATCGTCAACAACATGAACAGCACTGTCTACCTCTGGTCCACCGCCACCACCACCGGCTCCAGCAGCATGCAGTCCCTGTCTTCCGGTGGCGGCAGCTACTCCGAGGACTGGCAGACCACCTCCGACGGCGGCATCTCCATCAAGCTGTCCACCACCACGGATGAAAGCAGCGTCCTGCAGTTCGAGTACACCACTGACGGTGACACCCTCTACTGGGACCTGTCGTCCATCAACCTGGACAAGGACTCCGCCTTCGTGACCGCGGGCTTCTCCGCTAGTCCCTCGGACTCGAGCTGCACCTCCGTCACCTGCTCCGCCGGCGACTCGGATTGCTCCGCCTCGTACCAGCAGCCCGATGATACCGATACCAACAGCTGCACGACTTCGTCGGGCATTACTCTCACTTTGGGCTAAACCCGCACAACCACTTTGATGGGGGTATTCAGGGGCTTTCCCCGCCCGGACCGAGCGTCCTAGAGATGCCGTCCGGCGGGAGCCACATTTGGAATACTCGCGGCAGGTCTTGCTTGACCTGTGCGTGAGACGACGGCCCGCGGGGCAGGCCTTGATGCACTTTATGAAATGTACTTGGGTTACGATCTGTTTATAGACTTCCAAAACGATAGACGCTAGAATAGAAAATGTCTCGTTATGCTTCTTACTTTCTCTCCACGTCGATGAGGATCAGGGGCCTGCGGTTGGTCTCGCTCGTACTTTGTCTGTCTTAGCCTGTAGATGATACCTTCCTTGCGCTGTATTATCGCGTAATGATTGGAACGCTCCGTGATTGAAGGCATCATCAGTTAAAACTCAAGAAGTGAGACCTACTCACAGCAAATGTCCCATTACACATTGTCTTGCCCAGGATTTTGTCTTGTGGCTGGGATGGAATGGCAAGAGAATGTCCAGTAGGTGCCGCGCATGGGAGCTCGGGAGCTCCAGCTCCAGCTTATTTGTTCTTGGACAAACCTTCCATCAGGTTTGAGGTAGAGATCAAATTCAGCATTGATAGCTGATACAAAACCCTGACGCTGACTTCTCTGGCGTACCTGGCTTGGTGCAACCTGCTCATTGATTTCCATAATCCACCCCCGTCCGAAGGTTGCCGTAGACTAATAATTCGGTGCCCGCCAAGAAGCAACAGTCGGGGACAATCCGCATATCACCGAACCTTAAATTGACTCCCTTAATGCGAAAATAAAGTGGAACTGTCTACAAAGGCATGTCGCTATCTCTTCATGCAACAATCGCATTTACTTTACCATATAGATTTTGAGCCAAGGTAGTCAAGCACATACGACCACAGGGTGTGGAAAACAGGGCTTCCCGTCCGCTCAGCCGTACTTAAGCCACACGCCGGGAGGTTAGTAGTTGGGTGGGTGACCACCAGCGAATCCCTTCTGTTATATGTTTTTTGTCCCTTTTTTGCTTGCTGTGTTGTCGAAAGGCTGCCGACTTGCCCGTCCGGTACATTACATCGAAATCGAGCGCAGTGCGGCGAGCGTGATGCTCCCGTACACTACGTCGTGAGGTGGTATGGCTCGGGCGGCCGTGATAATGAGTAATACAGTGTGAAGTCCGGTAACGCATTCGAACATCAACAGCAGCGTTTTTTTTTTTTCTTCTCTTTTTATCTAACCTCATCTCTCCTTATACTGTCGAGCGGCATAGTAGAGATATCGCGAAGCCAAAAACCCTGGGCTCGCGTCTCGATGAAGTTGAAGGCCCGCGGGGCAGGCCATGATGCACTTTATGAACTATACCTGCGTTACGAACTGTTTATAGACTTCGAGATCATCGACTAGAATAGAAATGTCTTGTTTGCTTTCCACTTTCTCCATGCTGAGGTTAGACAGAAACATGTTTGTCTCTTCGGTAATCACACTGCTCACCCAAGTAGATTTGACACCGTGGTTGGCCAGCTGTGCTAAATGACATAACTGGAGCATTGCTTCTAGTTGAAATACACCTTTCCCCCGAAAAAGCAATCATCAAAGGCTTCCCCCAATTATTAGCTTTCCAACAAAACAGATGCTCCGAATCACAGGTAGGGCTCGATGCGCTCGGTCACGTCAAATTGCAAAGGCTGCGCTGTCCGAAGAAATCATTCACCGATCCGCCATCTGCCCTTTACAGGTAACAGGCATAGAAAAGAACAACGTGCTCACTTGAAAATCGCGCGAACCTCGTCGCGATGCTTGTCAAGATAGTCCGCGAACCTCGTCAAGCGAATCGGGTACTTCTCGAGGGCCGTGAAATCGACCTGGTAGCCCACCTCATTTGTCCACAGTTGGGCGTAGAGTCTGGGATCCCTCTCGGCCAGGGCTTTCGCTTCCTCCTCGCTGTAGAATTCCAGCTGAATCTCCTCCCCGCTGACCCGGCACAGCTCCTGCACGATCTGCGCCGGCGTGAGCGACTCGACCCCCAGGTCGATCTCGTGGGTGTGGTAGGCGCGCGGGTCGGTGAGAGCCGCCGCCGCGAACCTGCCAACGTCCTCGGCTGCCAGCACCGTCATCGCCGTCTCGGGCCTGTAGGCCGTCCGAAACACTTTTTGCTGGACCAGCTCCGGGAACATGTACGCCGCCGTCGGCGCGTGGTAGTTGTGCATCAGGAAGGCGGGCCGCAGGATCGTCCAGTGTTGCAGTCCCGAGGCGCGCACCATGGCCTCGATGTCGGCTTTGTTCTCCCAGTACCACCGCAGCGGGTACTCGGGGCCCCAGTTGGGGAAAGACTCGTGCTGTCCGGTCATCGCCACGCTCGAGTAGACGATGCTGGTCACGGTGCCGGATGCGATCGCCGCGTTGAGGATGTTCTTGGCATGCACCACCTCGCTTCGGAGGTCCGGCAGCATGGGCGACACATTCAGGAAGACGGCCGTCGCGCCCTCCATCGCTGCTTTCAGCGCGGAGAGATTGTCATAGTCGCCGGGGAAGAGCCGCACCCCGAGGCGCTGGAGCTCCACGGCTGACTCTGAGGACGGGTCCCGGGCAAGCGCGTGTACTTGGACTCCGGCAGTAACGAGCTCACGCGCTGTGGCACCGCCTTGTTGACCGGTGGCTCCGCTCACGAATACGATGACTTGCGACATGTCTTATGTTTGATGGGAGAGAAAAGAGATGAAGAAAAAAGGTGGTGGGAACGCGATCTTGGTTCTGTCGAAAGGAACAGAATGTGAAGACAATCGGTGCACTTTTTATATGTTACATGTTCCCAGGGAGACCATATTCTGAGCTGCCGCTGCACCTTTACCATGATCCATTGCCATCCTACCGGAAGTAGTAGGCAGCTCGAAGATGTGGATCGTGTTTCATGAGCTCTAAAGACACTCCGAGGGGCTCGGAGGTGAGTCCAGAGGGTCCGAGGTCACTAGGTATGCCTTCCAGGTTCGCCCGTTTTCCCGAGCCACAGCTAGGCTAGCCTCGATTCGGTAACCAGCTCGACGGCACTGCAGACTAGTCCGGATTCAGCAGCGGCGAAGATTACAAAGCAGTGGCGCAGTAGATTACCGTGGACCTTGCTGAGTACGTACTCTGCAGAACCAAAACTTGACCAGCTTGAGGTCTTCCAACTACCCAATTCCCTTTATTCTGCCTAGCAAAATGGTACTGTGCGCTACGTAACATGGTCTACCGTGGCAAGCCCAGTAAAGCGTGCTGGGAATGTCGAGTAAAAAGAAGAAAGGTATTTTACCCTCTAGTCTGACGCCTTGACTCGTTAGCTTAGTTATCGACGACCGCTGCTAATTCAACTGGATATCTGGGGCTTCAAGTGCGACTTATCACGACCAGCATGTCGTCAATGTCTTAGGGCCGGCTCTAGATGTGACGGATACCGAGATGCCGAGAGCTATGTGACATTCCGAGATCAGACTGGCGAGACGGTGAGCAAGGCTTCCCCCCCGGCACCCGGGAACAGCACGCTCCGTTCTGCGCTCCATGGCAAGGAGCCTGTCTCTGCATTATCCCATGAACTTCAGCAGGTCGACCAAGGCCCTTGGCCCGCTGTCGCGGTTCCACCGGAAGATCAGGCGCTGCAATTCTTCTTCCACCATTACGTTGCGCACGCGCCCGGGCGACCCCCAAGCCACCCGGACTGCCTGGGCATCATCTACAAGCGAGCAACTGGGCCGGGATACCTGGCTAGTCTCATCGTCGCCGTGGGACTAGCGAGCCTGGCGCATGTGCGGAATGCGCCCATGCTGGGTCATGCCGCCAGCCAGGCGGTTTCTCGGGCTCTTCGTGATATGCGTACGGCGCTGGCGGACCCCAGCTGCGCGGCATCCGACCAGATGCTGGTCGCCGTAATGCTTTTGGCATTGTTCGAGGTAAATTTTCCCGTGGCTGCAGACTCACTGGGGTAAGCTATTGACTAGACTAGACTGTCACTCCGGATGGTGATGGCAATGTGGGATCATGGGACAGGCATGTAGACGGTGCCGTGGCATTGATCCATCTCCGAGGCATCGGCCAGCTACGCAACAGGATCGGTCGAGGCATTTTTCTCCACGCGCGTACGGAGATCGTGAGTCATGTCCCCCGAGAATATCTTCATTGCATGTCCGTTCTGTCTGACTTCCCCAAACAGCTCCTCAATTGCCTTCAGCGCGGGCTACGGGTACCAACCATACTGCGCAAGAATATGAAGGAGGCCAGACATTACGAAACCGAGCACGAAGCCCCCGCCTCCCAACTAGCAGATCTCGTTGCCGATGCTTGCGCCGTTCTAGCCTCCTGTAAGGACAGTAGCGTGGACGCGCTGAATCTATCTCGGTGTGTCTCCGCAATCCTTGGAGTTGATAGAGACCTGGAGCGCTGGTCCGAATCCCTCCCAGCAGACCACGCGTATACAACTTGCCCCCGTCAGAGCGATGTGCAAGACGCCGAGATGTGTCAGCTGGGTCAGTATGATACGTACCTCAGCGTCGACGTCGCCCACACATGGAACCTGCAGCGCTGTGTGCGCATTCTCCTCCACCAGGCACTTGTTGCACTGTTGTCACAACCACTTCCCCAGCAGCCGTCTCCCCTGTCAGCGTCCGCACTGCAACCCTCACCCGGACCACCATGCCCCTACCTACTGGATTCCTCGATATCGCTGATCCAGGAACTTTCCAAGGATATATGCTCCAGTGTTCCATATCTCCTTCACGCCTGCGACAAGGCCGGCAAACCACGGGAGGGCCTACGCGCTGCGTCCATCGTGCCCCTGCTGTGGCCACTCTACCTTGCAGGAACATCCCACGGTCGCAGTGACGCCTTGCGCGACTGGGTCCTACAGAAGATGAAAGCCATTGAAGAGGAGACGGGGATTCACAAAGCGAAGCTCATGGCGGCGGAGATCCGACGGCGCCCTCCGTCGTTTGTCTTAACTTAATATGGGTCTTTGATTGATCAATCCAGTGTGGAATCCCGGCTCTTCTGCCTTAAAGTTAGGATTGCTGACTCTTTTCCTTCTCTACCCTGATCTCTCCTTGTACTGCCGAGCGGCATAGTAGAGATAACGCGAGGCTGAAAAGCCCCGAAGCGCCTTGCCATAACGCAGAAAGACTACAAAGGCCAGCAGAATCGCAACCGCGAGGACTAGAATCGTGACGAAGGTATCTTTGAGTCCCACCTTCGCCACCCACGGCGAGAGCGCGAAGATGAACACCGTGCTGAACGTGTTGCGCGTCAGGGTTACGCCCACCAGGGCGTCGCCGATGATCTGCATTGACTGTCAGGAAAAAAAAAGAAAAAAAAAAGGAGGTTGATTCTGAAGGGTTTCTAGAAATCCACTTACGTCTCTATACGAATCAGTCAGGTAGGTGATGGTGAGGGTGTTGATCGGGGTGACGCCGATATTGTACAAGGCCAGCCCCACGGCAATCACCGGCCAGGGACGGTGGTCACTGAGCCCCATGGCGAAGAGGACGGCCCCGACCACGACGAAGGGGAGGAAGGGGATCATGCACCACAGCCGCGTCTCGGGCTGGAAGATGCCATGGCGGCGGCGAGCCAGATAGACAATCCACCAGTCACTCAGGGGGCCGACGATGATGGCCCCGATCGTGACGCCGATCATCCGCGGCAGACTCATGAGCCCGACCTCGTAGGAGGAGAAGTTGTAGGGCGCCCGGGGTAGGTAGGTGGACATCGTGGTCGACATGACGTCGCCCAGGGCCACCAAGATCCCATACACTAGCGCGGTCCACGCGATCGCCGGGATTGTCGCCAGGATGATGAGCGGTTGAAACATGTGTTGGAAGAAGGAGTCCTTCGTGGCACCGGACGAGGTCGTGGGGGTGATCAGAGCAAGTCGCTGCCAGTATGTTTTCATCGGGATGTTAGGGTTGATAGCGGGCCTTGGGGTGATCTCGCGCGCGCTTTCGTCTGCGGCTTCTACCGAGCCTAGCTCTCGAGCACTTTTATCGGTGTCGCTCTGACTCCTCTGAGTGACTGATTTATCGCTGAGATGCTTCACCTTGTCTTCTACCATGTTATGGTCCTGACGTTTGATTGCGCCCGACCGGTCTTCGTCTGAGGGAGTCAGGTGCAGATCGGTCGTGGCGGAGCCAACCGGCCGGGGACAGAACTTGGTCTCTTCGTACCCAAACGCGACAACGAAGATCGTCACCCCGCAAATAATGGCATTCAGCCACCAGATCCATCGCCACCCCAAACCGTCGGCTACGAACCCGGCCACCAGGATGCCGAGGTAGGTGGCAAGCAGCCACGTCCAGACATACAGCGCGTTCATCCGGCCCCGCTGGTGCACGAAGAACAGATCCGCGATGGTCATCTGCACAATGGCCTCGGCCAGACTCGCGAAGAAACACTGGATCACGTTGACGGCCATGAGATCGCCCACCGTCTGGATCCTGGCCGACCAGATGCAGATCCCGAACTGGACCACCGTGCTGAAGAGATACAACGGTCGACGGCCGGACTTGAGCGCGAACGGGATCAAGACGAGGGAGCCAACGGCCAACCCCGCACAGCCAGCTGCATAGCTGTCATTCATGATCTCGTCGCTGAACCCGAGCTGGGCCTCCATGGGGCCCCAGGTCGGCGTACTGGCGTTGATGAATTCCGCCACCATCGCCACGTAGAAGCAGACGAGTCCCATGTTCCAGTACTTGCGCCAGGGCGTCCAATTGAGGGGATCGTTGGGGTCATCGGAGGGTTGCGGTTGCAGGTTGATGGTGGCATCCCCCGTGGACGGCGAGATGTCGGCAAGGCACGAGGTGCCGGGGGGCCACATGAGCGTGTGACTGCCGGCGGTACTGCCATTGGGAGCGGCCGAAGGCATTGTGAGATGGTTTTGAACGAGGAAGAAAGATTCAATGCATGCTGGAAATCTCATGCTGGCGATTCTGAACTTATATGGAACCGGCCGTTGAAAGGTGACAGGGATGGTGATAAAAGCCCACATCACGTACTCACATCCAGTATAGTTCGACTTATCCGAGACGATAAGGCGATAAGATTGGTGGAAAGTCCCGCTGGTTGAGAGGGGAAAGAAGGCCGCCATCGGGCCGGTGCTGCTTAGGTGCAGTCAAGGGCAAAAAGTCTCTGCGCAGGACTTTTGTGGCCACCGGCCGTTTGGAAAGCAATAGTACGATTGGTCTTCGGCAATTCTTATCGTAAAAAATCTCACTCCTTTTTACCTAGATAATATGATTGTTAGACACTAAAATACAGATATGTATCCAACACTATTCTAGTTGATACATAAGATTCTTCGTCAGCCAGTTGATTGACGGGAAGTTCCGCCCAATTTTGCTTGTTCGGTGTGCATTCCGATAGTTATCACCTCATCTCAAACCCCCACGCCGAACCGCACGGAACTCGTTAGCTCCGAGCCACCTATAAATACAGCTGGCCTTCCCGAGATCATCCCCATTTGTGCCAATTCTAGATCAGAAACCAATAAAATCGACAAAATGAGACAAGACAAGTGTGAAAGATTCGGCTTCCCCAAACCGACCGGGTACTCCATTTCCCACTGGCTGGGATCGGTGCAGGGAGATCCGCTGCTGAACCACCGAACCACGCTCGACTTGCCGCAGTCTGCAGATATCGTGATCATCGGATCGGGTGTGAGTAGCAGCTTCAGTGCGTGCAAAACTCGAACAGGTAGCTAAGCGCTGAATCCAGATGTCCGGCACCGTGGCCGCCAAACACCTCACAGAAACCTGGCCTGCTAAGAAAATCGTGGTCATTGAGGCTCGTCTGTTCTGCTCCGGTGCTACGGGTCGCAACGCTGGCCACTGTAAGCCAGACCAGTGGAGAGGGTTTTTGGAGTACGAGCGACAGTTTGGCACGGAGCAGGCCCTGAAGGTATGGGCATTCTCTGTGTGCTGTACCGTACCGGGCGCTAATTGCGAATTCTGTAGATCCTGCAGAATGAACAGCAGACATGGTCCGAGCTAGTACGCTACATTCAGGAAAACAGTGTCGAGTGCGAACACTGGACTGGACCCACATGGGATGTTCCCATTACCCCCGAAGCCGCGCGCAAAGCCCGCACAACCTTCGAGCGGTACAAGGCCGCCGGAGGGAAGGTCGATCATATCAAAGTGACCCACGACCCCCAAGAAGCAGCGGAGGTTCGCACAAGCTCTTTGCTCCGTGTTGAGGGCATGGCTGACAAGATACCAGATCTCCCAGATGAAAAATGCTCAAGCATGTTACGCGTGGCCGGCGTCCACACTACACCCGTGGAAACTGGCAGCCCATGTGATGCGGGAGAACATTCGGAGAGGCGTCAACCTGCAGACCCACACCAAAGCTGTCGCTGTCGTCCCTTCTCAGAAGAACCCAGGCCAGTGGGTCGTGAGAACCGAGCGCGGTGACATTGAGTGCGCACAGGTCGTCCATGCTACCAATGCGTATAGTTCCGCCCTCGAGCCGTCGCTGCGGGGCTTGATAACTCCCCGTCCCCAGATGTGCAATCGAGTCACGATCCCGGAGACTGCTACAGATTTCGCAGGATTCAAGAACTCCTATGGTATTCTCCTTGGCCGGGACGACCTGATTAGCATCAATCCCCGCCTGAATGGCGATGGCACCGTGCTGTTTGGCGGCAGCAACCCCGGCCAAGGGGAGTTCATGAAGTGGCTAGACCGGAATCCAGAGCGGTGCATTGATGATGGTATGACCGGTCATGACGCGATCAATAAGGCTGTTCAGGCGTTCGCGATCGGTGAAGTGAAGGGGTGGACCGCCGATGAATTGCAGCAAGAAGAGCCTTACACGCATGCTTGGAGTGGTATCATGGGAATGGTAAGAAAGCAGTAATTCTAGATGTGATGCTAGTAGGGCAGGCGCTAACTGGAGACTAGAGCGCAGACGGCGTGCCGTTTGTCGGAGAGCTGCCAGGGCTTGCGGGTCAGTGGGTTTGTGCTGGTCACAACGGACAGTAGGTTCATGCATCACCCTTGTAATGAAGTTACGCTAACAGTGACTTCTGCGATACCACAGTGGCATGGCTCGTATTTTCACCGCTGCAGCAGGCTTGGTGAAGTTGATGGCTGGGAGTTCGTGGGCTGAGTCGCAGCTGCCTGAGGTTTTCCAAATCACGGTGGAAAGGGCTGAGCGGTTGAGAGAAGGCTGCAAAGCGTCAGCTGCGGTTGTCGCTCGGATTTGAATGGATGCACAATTCTAAACGCCGCATAAAATCTCGTGTTCTGTACGATTGAATTGACCCAGTAGAGATGCACCAGATGTACGATCTACAACCTCCATGGTTGGGGATACGAACAAATCTGCTATCAAACACTAAATCCTTCGGTTCGCTGTCTACAATTGCGTAGATTGTCTAGCGTGCGGGGTACTTAATTGATTGCATGGTGGGTCTTAACTGCCATTTGCTCAATTTGGTAATCTAATATGTACGCCAGTGACAGTCCAGGCCATCCTTCCAGTCAGCGCAGCGGCATTTATCTTTTATCTTTTCATCGCCACTCCAAGAGGGTCATCGCCGGCGACGCTTCTCCACTGGAATCCTTTGACCCTTTCTACCCCGACGCTCCGACCTGACATCCCCTTCCTCTCCAGTTGACAACGCACGCTCAGCAATATTGACAGCTGAAGGGTCCACATATGCGCCATGTTACCCCAGAAGGGCCAAAAGACCCCGTTGACCCGGTCCGCTGCACGGAGACCCTCGGGTTGCCGAGCCCTTCTCGCATGCGTGAAATGCAAGGAAAAGAAATGGAAGGTAAGAGCACTACACAACCCGTCCAGTGCGTCAAGCAGCTTTCTTCTGACCCGATAGGATGGAAGTGCGACAATAATCCCTCGGGGTGTAACAACTGTCTACGTGCTGAGTCCGGTCGGTATTTCTTCCGGTCGCTCGGTTCCTTCCGGTTGCCAAAGTGGGGTTGATTAAGCTTAAATGATCTGACACAGGAAAACAGTCTGCCTCGTAGAAGACCCCGTCACGAGGACATTTCGGCCTCGTAACTACATCGAGATCCTCGAGAAACGAGTGGAGTTTCTGGAGAGCTTGCTAAAGGAGCGCTGTCCTGATCTCGTCTGCAGTGATTTGTTCAAACGTCATGCACCCGAGAGACAGAAAGCACCCACTACTTCCCCGCGGATACAACACATAATTAATTCTGATGTCCACCACAGTGACCCGATGAGTTCCCGCAAAGCCAAAAATGATTCGAGCCGAGACGACGCTGTCGACAAGCTGGAAGCAAAAGTGGGCCTACTGAGTCTCAATGCCGCGGGCGCAGAGCCTCAATATCTGGGTTCGTCTTCGATCTTCGCCTTCTCGCGCTTGATCAATCCGTCTCTTCGCCAGGTGGTTTCCTCCGATCTTCCCACGGGCACCGTGGCTGATGGGCCGGAGAATCGCGTCTCGGTGCTACCGTCACCATGCCTGCTGCCCGATCACGAGTCTGCAGTCAGGCTCAGTAATGTCTATTTCCAGAATGTGAACGTCCACTACCCCGTCCTACATGAGCCGACTTTCAGGACATGGGAGTCCATGTTGCTACAGGAGTCGGCAGGCCAGGCAAACCTACATCCGGATTATATCTCATTGATCTTCTTGAACATGGTAAGGTCTAACAGAATCATGACTACCGAATGGGGACAGAAAGTGCTCACACTGGTAGGTATTCGCTGTTGGGGCGTTGCTTCTGCCCCAACTGGGATTCTCAGCGGAAGTAAGCAGACGACCCCAATGAAGGAACGGAAACGCTCACTGACTGATCACTAGCGCCTGTATACATCAGCACTAATGTATATCGATGATATCCTGATCCATGATAACCTCGAAGCGGTGCAGGCCATCTTGTGCTGCGCCATCTACTCCGTGAGATCTCCGACGGGCACTTCGCACTGGTATGGATCACCATCAAGAAAAACGGGGACGAAGATCGCATGTGCTCATGAAAGTGACAGGAAGCTCGGCAGTCTGGCGCTGCGTCAGTGCATCGATCTGGGGTACCATCGACATACAAAGCACTTCTCCGTCCCCGCAGAAGATTTAGTTCGGACTGAACTTCGCAAGCGGGTGTTCTGGTGCGCCTATGTGATAGAGACCCAGGCTGCCGTCATGTTGGGCCGACCGTTGAGTGTACCGTATCAAGAGGTTGACGCTGAAGTAGGTTCGGACAGGACGCCCACCTTAACCAGCCCAACAACGTTCCATCTGCGCTCCGTTTCTGACCATTTATCGTGTATAGTATCCCATTGACATTGACGATACGTGCATCACGAGCACAGGACTACTAGGCACGCCCCGGAGCCGCCCGCAGGAAGCACCCACCACCATGACGAGAGCGATCTATACCTTCCGCATGCGCCGTCTTCTGAATCTCATCCACACCCGCCTCTACTCCAAGGCCGACCCCATCTGCTCCGGCAATCATGACCGGCAGCGTGACGTTGCGAACATCCGCGCCAAGATCGAGAAGTGGCGCACGGAACTGCCGCCCTCGCCGCCCTCCCATGCCGAAAATGACCTGGCCCTATTCACGAGCGCAGACTGGTACGATCTGGAGTACAACTACACAATCCTCCAGCTCTGTCGCGCCCAGATCCTCGACCTCCGGGCGGGAGGAAAGGCGAGCGAGGATGTCTTTCTGGAATGTCTTCGAGCCGCAGAAAGCATCTGTCAGAGCTACCGCCGGCAGTTCCTGGGGAAGCCGACGAGCTGTACCTGGGCGGCGCTGCATGAGCTGTTCCTGGCGGGATTGACATATCTCCACTGCCTGTGGACGACCTCGTCTGCCGCGCGAGGAGAGGTCTCTGGCCCCGCGCAGGCAAACAGCACCTGTAACGATTGCACGATCGCGTTGGTGATCATGGCGGAACGCTGGGATGTGGCGGCGCCGTATCGGGATATCTTTGCGGCTCTGGCGAGCCGGACACTGTCAATGTTGGGTGACAAGGCTTGCGCTGAAAGATTATCCGATCGTGTAGATTAGGCTGGCGCTTGGAGTGGGGCGGAACAGGATGATTGCACGGAATGGATGAATATGGTCGCCCAAGCTGGAGTGCTCAACGGCTCTAATGGCCTGTTGACTGGCATAGAGAGGGATTGATCTCTTTTTCTTACATCCAGGGCTGTTCTGTGCAAGTATCCTCGCCAATTCACGGCTCTGGTGATATCAGTATGAAGATACTACGGTCAAATAGAGGGCCATGAACAGCTGATGGGATATATAGGGTTATTTTGCTAGGGAGGGGGTCGAGAAATAGCCAAGTGATTGCCGACCCTTCGGAAACTGAGATCCTCTCGTAGAAGCGCCATCTTTGCCCGGTCAAACAGCAAGAAGGGGAACATGTCCGGCGCTGTCGGCTAATATTACCGAAGTACAGTACTAGCTGCCGCATAGTCTCGCCCGCCACGGGGCTAGTCCAGCTGAAAAGCACCACGACGGAGCTGCAATGCTGGCAAGTGGTATCTCCGGCCGAGCCGAGGAATAAGTCGGCGGCGAGATTGAAAGCATTCCCTTGATACATCACACGCAGACGCAAGGCATTGAAGCTAACCTCGCTTATAGTATTCGCGAGAGGTGCTAGTGTCGGGAAATGCTACTCTGTATGCCTTTACAAAGGTCACCAGACCATTCTTTCAGCTCTCCACAAAGAGAGAAAGGTTGAGAAGAGAGCTCAACGGGGGCTAGAGTCAATCCCTCATGACAAGTCTGAGGATAAAAGGGGACAAGTGCGCCCGCCTGTTGGGGTTTACCATTCACCTTTTTCCTATCTCCTCAACGCAATTGGAAATCGGGATTGTATTCTCCAACTGGGTTTCGTTTCCTTGATCACCCAACAGCACAAATTTATCCCATGGCACAGGGAAGCTCTGAAGATGGACCCTCGCGTCCGATGCGGCGACTGGTGATCTGCTGCGACGGCTCCTGGCAGACCTCGAGCCACGGCCTCCGGAACGTGGCCTCCAACGTGGCCAAGCTGTCGCGATCAATCGCCGGCTGGACCGACGAAGATGGGGAGTGCATCCAGCAGCTAATCTACTACGACGCAGGAGTTGGCACGGCTAACAGCGCCTCCGTGGAGAGCGGGAGCTTTCCAACCCGGTTCGTGGCGAAGGTTCAGAAGTGCTGGGAGGGCGGCCTGGGACGCGGTCTGGAGGAGAATGTGTGCGAGGCTTATAACTTCTTGGTACGCTTGCTCAAAGAATCTCCGCCCTATCCATTTATAGGGCGACTTTCGTAGCCTCGCCAAAACCGATCGAGAAGCGAAAGCCATGCTGACAATGTGCGTACCTACCAGGTCAACAACTACGCCCCCGGCGATGAGATCTACATCTTCGGCTTCTCCCGCGGCGCGTACACGGCGCGCGCGCTGGCCGGCCTCATCTGCAACATGGGCATCTGCCTGCCGGACATGATGGATGATTGGTGGTCGATGTACGCGGACTACAAACTCAACTTCAAGCGGCAGGCGGCAGAGAAGAAGGCGAAGGAAGAGGAGTCGGGAATGCACTACATGAAGTCCTGGGGGAAGACGAAGCCCTATACGGACTGGAAGGAGCGGTTCCACAAGGCGGTTGAGATTGAGGTCGTCGGGGTGTTCGACACGGTGGGGGCGCTGGGCATCCCGACGAACGTGTGGTGGGACTTCAGCGAGCGCAACGAGGCCAACTACGGGTTCCACGATACCAAGCTGCACAACCAGATCAAGCACGCCTTCCACGCGTTGGCGCTGGACGAGGACCGCGCCCCCTTCACCCCGACGCTGTGGAGCCGCCCGTCCGGGGTGACGACCAAGTTGGTGCAGTGCTGGTTCCCGGGCTACCACATCAACGTCGGCGGCGGCAGCGACAACACCGTCAAGAGCTACGGCGACCTCGAGGCCATGGCCAACCTCGCCCTCGTCTGGATGATCGACCAGGTCCGCCACCGCACCAGCCTGGCCTTCGAGGACCACGCCCTCGCCCGCTTATACCACCACTACAACTGCACCATCGTCGACCTCTCGCGCCGCGGCTTCCAGCAGGGCAGCAAACACCACTACACGCACGCCGAGACCGCGCACTGGTACTCTTGGGATAACCCGCACGCCACGCACATCACCGGATACGGTGGCTGGGGCCTGGGGTATCGTCCCGACAGCTGGGGGCGGGAGACGGCGCTGGCGGGCGATATCCCCCGCACTCCGGGCCAATACGCCAACGCCAACGCCGAAGGCGCTACGGATGAGTTCATCCACCCCATCGTGCGCTACGCGACGAGCGAAGCCCATCGCCAGGTCCACCCGCGCGGCTCCCCGCTGTACTACGAACCGCAGGCGCTGAAGGACTTTGTCCCCGTGAAGAACCCCCCTCCGCCGGCGGACAACCCCTGGCTCAAATACGAAGGATGGTACTGGAAGAAGGTTGATAAGGAGACTGGCGAGACCACGCTGATCCCGGAGATGGCCCTGTGGGAGGACGTCGGCCGGGAGGACATGTTGTTCAACGAGAGGGACTACATGCGCGCCGACTGGCTGGCGACCTCGGCTCCGCTCAAGGGCTTCGAGGAGTCGTTCATCAAGGAGTATCTCGCCTTGGCCAACCCGACGACGGCCGACCCGCTGACTCCCCGGGAGCAGAAGCTTATGGCGGAGCTGGAGGAGGTGGCGGCCCGAGAGCATGCCAGCACGATGAAAGACGGATCGCTGGTCTACGAGCTGCGCAAATGCGCCTTTCCGGGCGATGCGGCGAAGCGCATGCAGCTGCTCCAGGCGGCTGGGGACCGGACCAAGACCTTCCTTACAGATGTGGAATCTCAGCCCTACCGGCCACCCTGGAAGCCCGCGAAGTTGAGGAAGATGGAGGTTGTGGAGCTTGTCAGGGATGACATTGAGTAGTAGAGATTGACGTTTCAATATTTGGCAGATCTCTTCGGGACTTTCTTACCAGAGAATAGTAATGGCAGCATCTTTTCGGTTTTACCTTTTTCTTTAATAGCTCTCAAAAAGAAAAAAAAAAAAAAAAAAAAAAAAGAATGTCTGTTTGAATGAGGCCTGCAGATAGGGCTAAATAGGTTCTAAAGGGCACGTCGTTCTCGTTACTCCAAAGTTCGGCACATCCTGCGCCGCCCTAGCTTAAAGCAGTACATGCTAGGATGTCACAACCCACTCTATCCTAACATCAACAAAAACATCAAGCCCAGCAGCCACACCCAACCAGACACCCCCAGCACCCTCACAGGAAACGCAGAGACCGGATCCGCCGCCCCAGCCCAATGAATCGAAGCAGTGGCCGGCGCCACCCCCGCCGTTGCAGTGGACCCGGACCCAGAGTCCGCCGCCGAAGCCGACAAACTCGTCATGGTGCCCCCCTCCATCACAATACTCTCAAAGTCCCCACTCTCATCGCTGTACGTATACGATTCCGCCGGATAATAGTTCACGATATCCACCGTCTGCACGACCATCGTAAACGGGGCCTGGGAGTAATTCGTCTCCCCACCGGCCCAGGAAATCGTCCCCGCGCTGTTGTTCGGGTCCCCGCCCGCCCAGATCCCGATCTTGATCCGCGAGGGGGTCTGCGGGTAGCGGGTGCCGTCCGCGGCGTCGCTGTACGTCAGGGTGCGCTGGGCGGTGCCGTCGATGCTCCAGGTGAGAGCCGCGGGCGTCCAGGTGAGGGTGTAGTTGTGGAAAGTGGATTGCGGGCCGTCGACGGGCTCCCAGGTCCAGCGGTCCGAGGTGGAGGAGTCGCCCTTCCCGAAGTAGTCGGTTTGTAGCTCCGTGGTGTAGGAGCCCAGGATTTCCTGTCCCGTGGGAGAGGAGGCTGTTAGTGGGAGGGGGTCCGACGAGCGAGTAGATGCAGTTGAGAGTGGGGCGGGGATTGTGCTCGTACCCAGTCGACCTCGTCGAGATCATCCGACTCTAATACTATACTGCTGATGATCCCCGTGCCGGCGGAGGCTTTCATGACGACACTGATCTCGCCGAAGAAGATGTAGAACGGCGTGGCGATCGTGGGGGCCTGGCCCTCCTCGTTGATCGTGAGCTCGACACCCTCAGTACCAATCGTTGGGCTGCCCGAGAGCGTCGACCACTGTGCAAGAGTCTCTGAGCTCTGCACGAAGTCATAATGGAGGCTGCTGTGGGTTGAGCCCGTGTCGGACGGACAGGTTTTGTTTAGAGGGTTGCAGTCAGTGGAAGTCTGTGCGAGGGTCACGCGGAGCGCGGAGAGAAGCACAGCGGTATGCCGAAGTAAACGCAGCATTCGAATGACGGGGTGTGATCTGGGCGATTGGTTTACCGATAACGCGGGATAGTGCTATACATGGTGGCTGAGAAACGAAGTATATATGGCAGAACCATGGAGACAAACTTGTTTTCCCTCTGCCACCCTGCCGGATGATAGGCACATCCTTTTCGCATCTTTGTTCCCAGCCTCCTCAATGATGCCCAGTTGACTATGACAGAATTTCAGCGGTTCTATGGTTGCTTCCAGCCTCCCTGTTTTTAATTCTCTGATGAATTTCAGGGTGGAGTACATGTCGTAGTCTCAATCTAGACTATCCGAAGACGGCTAGATTATGCCGCTCGGTCAGCATCGGAGTGGATCTCTAGTATCTGCTAGCGAATTACAGCCTGTGAAGTCGGAGAATTCCCCGCTTACGCAGAAGCTTGTCTGCGTAAGTCAGCATAATGAGTACCTCACGCCTATACAGCGACTTTGAATGCACTCTCTACAGTTAGGTCCCCACACATAAATATCCCACTAGGTAGCCAAAAAGGCAGATCACGGCTAGGTGCCTGTTCATGGCCACAGCCTGTCCGATGTAGTTAGTTCTGGGGCGAGTTGTGGGATGATCGCTACGTTACTGGTGGGGGTTTTTGTTTTGCCGGTAGTATGTCGTGAGTGGGGAAGCGCTTGGAAAGCGTTAGGCAACCTTCATTTAATACGTAGTCATATATACATAAGCTCGCCGCGCCCCAACAATACTCATCTGGGTTGGGCGAGAGGAATTGGAGGAGGCGCAGAAGTCGGGGATGGTTCTGACGTGTTTTCGATTTCCACCCCGTTACGATGTTCGAGATTCCATCGTGGCTCATATGATGCCCATTGGAATGCCCGGCAGTACAAGCTAGGGTGACTGGGAGATTTGCTGCGTGCATAACTGTTATTCTCCGTCTTCTGTGTCTCTCTCACTCATCTCCCCTGCAGCGGCTCCTGCCAAGAGCATTGTCTGGTCCCCCACAGCC